GTGAGGGGAGGAGAGAGCTCCAGAGGTGAGGGAGGAGAGAGCTCCAGAGGTGAGGGGAGGGAGGAGAGAGCTCCAGAGGTGAGGGGAGGGAGGAGAGAGCTCCAGAGGTGAGGGGAGGGAGGAGAGAGCTCCAGAGGTGAGGGGAGGGAGGAGAGAGCTCCAGAGGTGAGGGAGGAGAGAGCTCCAGAGGTGAGGGAGGAGAGAGCTCCAGAGGTGAGGGGAGGAGAGAGCTCCAGAGGTGAGGGAGGAGAGAGCTCCAGAGGTGAGGGAGGAGAGAGCTCCAGAGGTGAGGGAGGAGAGAGTTCCAGAGGTGAGGGGAGGAGAGAGCTCCAGAGGTGAGGGGAGGAGAGAGCTCCAGAGGTGAGGGGAGGGGGGAGAGGGTTCCAGAGGTGAGGTGAGGGGAGGGAGGAGAGAGCTCCAGAGGTGAGGGAGGAGAGAGCTCCAGAGCTGAGGGAGGAGAGAGTTCCAGAGGTGAGGGAGGAGAGAGCTCCAGAGCTGAGGGAGGAGAGAGTTCCAGAGGTGAGGGAGGAGAGAGAGCTCCAGAGGTGAGGGGAGGAGAGAGTCCAGAGGTGAGGGGAGGAGAGAGTTCCAGAGGTGAGGGGAGGAGAGAGCTCCAGAGGTGAGGGGAGGAGAGAGCTCCAGAGGTGAGGGGGAGAGGTGAGGTGAGGGGAGAGAGCTCCAGAGGTGAGGGAGGAGAGAGCTCCAGAGGTGAGGGGAGGAGAGAGCTCCAGAGGTGAGGGAGAGGGAGGGAGAGCTCCAGAGGTGAGGGAGGAGAGAGCTCCAGAGGTGAGGGAGGAGAGAGCTCCAGAGTAGAGGAGAGAGCTCCAGAGGTGAGGGAGGAGAGAGCTCCAGAGGTGAGGGAGGTGAGGGAGGAGAGAGCTCCAGAGGTGAGGGGAGGAGAGAGCTCCAGAGGTGAGGGGAGGAGAGAGCTCCAGAGGTGAGGGGGGAGAGAGCTCCAGAGGTGAGGGGAGGAGAGAGCTCCAGAGGGTGAGGGAGGAGAGAGTTCCAGAGGTGAGGGGAGGAGAGAGCTCCAGAGGTGAGGTGAGGGAGGAGAGCTCCAGAGGTGAGGTGAGGGGGGAGAGGGTTCCAGAGGTGAGGGAGGAGAGAGCTCCAGAGCTGAGGGAGGAGAGAGTTCCAGAGGTGAGGGAGGAGAGAGTTCCAGAGGTGAGGGAGGAGAGCTCCAGAGGTGAGGGGAGGAGAGAGTTCCAGAGGTGAGGGGAGGAGAGAGCTCCAGAGGTGAGGGGAGGAGAGAGCTCCAGAGGTGAGGGAGGAGAGAGCTCCAGAGGTGAGGGGAGGGAGGAGAGAGCTCCAGAGGTGAGGGGAGGAGGAGAGAGCTCCAGAGGTGAGGGGAGGGAGGAGAGAGCTCCAGAGGTGAGGGGAGGGAGGAGAGAGCTCCAGAGGTGAGGGAGGAGAGAGCTCCAGAGGTGAGGGAGGAGAGAGCTCCAGAGGTGAGGGGAGGAGAGAGCTCCAGAGGTGAGGGAGGAGAGAGCTCCAGAGGTGAGGAGGGAGGAGAGAGCTCCAGAGGTGAGGGAGGAGAGAGTTCCAGAGGTGAGGGGAGGAGAGAGCTCCAGAGTGAGGGGAGGAGAGAGCTCCAGAGGTGAGGGGAGGGGGGAGAGGGTTCCAGAGGTGAGGTGAGGGGAGGGAGGAGAGAGCTCCAGAGGTGAGGGAGGAGAGAGTTCAAGGTGAGGGAGGAGAGAGCTCCAGAGCTGAGGGAGGAGAGAGTTCCAGAGGTGAGGGAGGAGAGAGCTCCAGAGGTGAGGGAGGAGAGAGTTCCAGAGGTGAGGGGAGGAGAGAGTTCCAGAGGTGAGGGGAGGAGAGAGTTCCAGAGGTGAGGGGAGGAGAGAGCTCCAGAGGTGAGGAGGAGAGAGCTCCAGAGGTGAGGGAGGAGAGAGCTCCAGAGGTGAGGGAGGAGAGAGCTCCAGAGGTGAGGGGAGGAGAGTCCAGAGGTGAGGGGAGGAGAGAGCTCCAGAGTGAGGGAGGAAGAGTTCCAGAGGTGAGGGGAGGAGAGAGCTCCAGAGGTGAGGGAGGAGAGAGCTCCAGAGGTGAGGGAGGAGAGAGCTCCAGAGGTGAGGGGAGGAGAGAGCTCCAGAGGTGAGGGGAGGAGAGAGCTCCAGAGGTGAGGGGAGGAGAGAGCTCCAGAGGTGAGGGGAGGAGAGAGCTCCAGAGGTGAGGGAGGAGAGAGCTCCAGAGGTGAGGGGGGAGAGAGCTCCAGAGGTGAGGGGAGGAGAGAGCTCCAGAGAGTTCCAGAGGTGAGGGGAGGAGAGAGCTCCAGAGGTGGGGGGGAGAGAGCTCCAGAGGTGAGGGGAGGAGAGAGCTCCAGAGGTGAGGTGAGGGGGGAGAGGGTTCCAGAGGTGAGGGGGAGAGGGTTCCAGAGGTGAGGGGAGGAGAGAGCTCCAGAGGTGAGGGGAGGAGAGAGCTCCAGAGGTGAGGGGAGGAGAGAGCTCCAGAGGTGAGGGGGGAGAGGGTTCCAGAGGTGAGGGGAGGAGAGAGCTCCAGAGGTGAGGGAGGAGAGAGCTCCAGAGGTGAGGGAGGAGAGAGCTCCAGAGGTGAGGGAGGAGAGAGCTCCAGAGGTGAGGGGGGAGAGGGTTCGAGGACTTGGGCTGAGGTTAAATTAAGTTATGGTTTTGGCCGTGGCTGCCTTGGGGCTGAATGACTGAGGAGGACGAGGACACGGACGCGCACACACGTTGTTATTCTCACAAACAGCAAAATATTTATTGTAATTTTCAGAAGTGATTATGACTTAAAATGTACAGTATTAGTTTTTTAGTACAGTACGGACCACATCACCATCGACATAATCACAAGAGTCAAGACTAATTAACATTCAGCGCATAATTAGGGCGGGGCCAAGTATGAACGAGGCCATTATAGCTCCTGAGTTTATTTTTATGATATTGTTTATTATCTTAAATAACAGACTCTTTGATGTGACACTGACATTTCCACACTCTGAGACGCGTAAAGGAATATCTTGTGTTTTTATGAATGAGAATAACGTGGTCAGTGCGTGGGAGCGTCCGGGACTGGGAGCAGCGTGAAGGCAGCGATGCAGTGGATGACCCAGTAGCAGGGGGCGGTCCACACCTTGCCTCTGCGCAGCACCGTGGGTCTGTGGGGTCCTTGGGGGTCGTACAGGATGTAGTGGGTGCACAGGGCCTGGTCGGAGCCCGGGGCGGCGTGGAAAGCGGCGGCGCTGACGGTCTGCGTGACGTCGCTGTCCGGTTTGGGCTGGCGGCTGAGGATCTGCCCGCCGCTCTCTCGCAGCAGCCGACAGAGCTCGATTTTGGTCGGAGCCGAGAAAGAACCCAAGAGGAAGAAGAAGCAGCCGTCGAACAGAGGAGGAAGCTGCACGGAGCACGGGGAAGCACAGTTAGTCCAGAAAATACATTTTTATAACAATCGTTCAGAGCTAAACGGCAAAAAACATGAAGATATGGAGCAGGGCAGAATATTTGAGGTTTTGTTTGGTTTTAGGGCAGAAAAAAAAAAAAAAAAAAGTTTATTAATGGAAACATCTTCTACAGTTGCTTTGGCTGTTTTTAAAAAATATTGTATTCCGGGCGAGAAAGTGGGCATAGATATCATTAGTAAAAATTAAATCCCAAGAAAATTATGTTAATATTATTACCATTTTTGTTATATTTTGTAAATTTACCGAACACATATGGGGTGGGAGGAAGTAAACATTTAATCCCACCCCTAATTACTTCAGTCATTACAGAGATAAAGTAAAGGATTCCTAAAAAGTGTAAGTTAAAGAGGGTCAGACATCAGAGTTTGGAGAACAAAAGAGAAAAAAGAGCCTTAAAGAGAAAGACACATGTTCTCACTTCTACAGCTCATATTTAGATCACAGTAAAACATGTATATTTAAGTTTTTGTTTTAATTTGTTGTTTTTTTCCAGGTGAGAGTATAATTTGGAAGACCGTATATCTACGAGACCAACATCATGGCGTGACTTCTAGCCGCCACATTGATATTGTTTTTGCATACTTGTCCCAGCCTTTTCATCGCAATGACTTGTTAATTTCCCCTCAAGAAATGATTCATTTTTAGAGTTAAGCTATTTTTTGGGGTGTTTTTCACTGCTTTTGTCGTCATGCAGAAGAACGCCTTATTTGCCTGTTTTAACTCCCACACACAGAGCTACAGAGCTGAAATTCTCATGGATGATATTTGAGAACGGTCCAAGCAGAATGGGTAAAAATGACAGTGAATATGAACTCTTTAGCGCCACATAGAGGAGGCCTTGGACTCAAACATTCTGATCAGAGGAAATACAGGATTAGGTCTTTATGGTATAACATTGATCCATCTCGAGAGAATCCTAGAGAGCCACATGTTCCAGCTGACACCTCGCAAAAGTGACATAGTGCTGCTTTAATATGAGTTATACAAGCAGCAAACACATGGCGGCACGGTGGCTGAGTGGATAGCACTCTCGCCTCTCAGCAAGAAGGTCCTGGGTTCCAATCCCGGTTGGACCAGGGCCTTTCTGAGTGGAGTTTGCATGTTCTCCCCGTGTCTGCGTAGGTTTCCTCCGGGTACTCCGGTTTCCCCTACCACTAAAAATATGTACAATAGGTCTGGCATGTGCCTCCTGTACTGGCCCCACTCCCAAAAATAACAATTGTAAACCGCTTTGAGACTCCGATGTGCAGTGAAAAGGCGGTATATAAATAAAGATTACTTACTTACTTACATAATTTTAGTTTTCTATAAAAATATATAAGCTGGAACTTTCTAAAAAAAAATCAAAATGTTGTTTAATTACTACAGAGGTGTGCGAAGTGAAGGCAGAATAATGAGATGCCTTTTCAGACTGCGGTTGTCCAACTCTGTAATTAAATCTGAACAAATTGGTCCAGATGTAATAAACGCAGATATGATCGTGACGACTAAGATAAATAAAACACAGCTTTAACAGATGCATGATTCTGTCTATTCAAATGAGCAGAACAAGAAGAAAAATGGGCTAATCTTACAACTGATAGCTTTTAACTAGGGCTGGGATAAACGATTTTTTTAAACGATTAATCTAACGATTATTTTTTCGATGCATCGATTAATCTAACGATTATTTTTTTCGCTTCGATTCGATTTCGATTCGATTCGATTCTCGATTATCTCCCCATTAATTGACTAATATTGATGTATACATGTGTCCTTGGGCAAGACACTTAACCCCACTTTGCCCAAAGCCCCCGCTGAAAGATCAAGGCTATGCTCACAGTCAGAGAGCAGCCGTCCTCCTGTGGACTCACCACCTGCAGAGGGTCAGTGAGGGGCTGGTGCTATGAGACTTGGGTGGCATCTCTGACCCCCCTGACCCAGAAATGGATTAAAGGGTAGAAAATGGATGGATGGATGGATGGATGATGTATACATGTTGATTTAAATATTTGAATGAATTCCTTCACAAAAAATATTTATTACTTGCTCTTAAAATTCAAAAATAAGACATTCTTAGAGGTAGCATAAAACCTTAAAGCCTTGAAAACACAGCTTACTGAAAAAAGTGCATCTTATCATTCTTGAAACAAACATTTGATGCTTAGCATTCAATAAAAATATGAAAAAGTTCAGCCAAATACTTGTGTAGAGCAACTAAAAGAAAACAGTAACCAATGTAAACTTGAAGGCTTTAAGCTAAACAAAGAGTGCTTTTCCAGCAAAAACAGTGGGAGCCATCAGCCTGTCATGGCGTCCTTCCTGAACCAACAGAGTTTAACATTTAAGTTGAAGACACATAGGCCTATATTACTGAAGTCCATTAATTAAAGTGCATCTCTTAAATTCTTCATTCATATAAAAATAACAGTCAAAACTCTGCCACTCACCTTTTTCTTAAACTCAAAATTCAAAAATAAAATTCAAGTAAGAGTGTACAAGAGAAAAACAATGCATTGTGTAGCAAATAAAAAGGTCAACCAGTCATCCTTTCTTTTAGAGTTACTGAAAGAATACAGTAGAAGTCATCTCAGAGGACTTAAAACAACATTGAAGTCACCAACACAGATCAGAGAATCAATCAACAGTTAAACACATTAAGGATATTGAACACATGTTGAAAAATGTCCATATACGGCAGGCATGACAGTGAATAATACATGTAGGGGCTATTACGGGCGCCAATATTCCGTTTGTTACAAAGAAAGACAGACTAGTTGTAAGCTGCAGAGTGGCCACAGGACGCGTCATCAGCCTACGTCATCAGTCTACGTCATCAGCCTACGTCATCAGCCTACGTCATCAGCCTACGTCATCAGCCTACGTCATCAGCCTACGTCATCAGCCTACGTCATCAGCCTACGTCATCAGCCTACGTCAGCAGCCTACGTCAGCAGCCTACGTCATCAGCCTACGTCATCAGCCTACGTCATCAGCCTACGTCAGCAGCCTACGTCAGCAGCCTACGTCATCAGCCTACGTCATCAGCCTACGTCAGCAGCCTACGTCAGCAGCCTACGTCATCAGCCTACGTCAGCAGCCTACGTCATCAGCCTACGTCATCAGCCTACGTCATCAGCCTACGTCAGCAGCCTACGTCAGCAGCCTACGTCATCAGCCTACGTCATCAGCCTACGTCATCAGCCTACGTCAGCAGCCTACGTCATCAGCCTACGTCAGCAGCCGCGGACTGCTATGAAAACATTAGCTTTGTGGTTTCACAGGCGCAGTTGACTGCTTAAACTAAACTTTGCACAAAACTTTGACTCTTAAAACCCACATGTGACAAAACGGAACCATCAACATCTCGCCTCAAATTGCATTAAAAGTGACATTCGTGTCTGAATTCGTTCGTATTTTAACTTTTAAAGAAATTCACGGTCCGCCATCTTGGTTTGCTTCGGCTGCCGTGAGACGCGCATGCGCAGGTTTGCATTACATCATAAACAGCTGAGGCTGTGCATCTCTTCAAGGCAGTGTATCTCGGCGTTACACCGGCTTGCACTTCTCTAACACGGCACTCGCATTGCTACCGCTCGCCGCCATCTTTGTTTTGTGTGTGACGCACCGACGCGCATATTATACGTCGGTGTATTTTTTGCGTCGACGTCACCGATTGCGTCGACGTCACCGATTACGTCGACGCGTTGTCCCAGCCCTAGTTTTAACTCTACCACTGATATTTTGTCATATCCTTTTGATTCACTTTTTAGATTTTTCAGAAGTTTGATGTGAAACTTTGAGACACTTTAGAGCGGACTAGAAAACGCAATAACAGAAATAAATACAAGAAAAAGCTGAAAAATGGGCAGTTCTGTTACTTTGGAACCTAAAGTGTTACATTCTATTCATTTGACTTGTCTCCCATGTTGTACAATAAAGCTGCCTGTATCCCCACTGCTGTCAGACTGTACAATAAGTCACTTGCACTAGGACTGAAAAACCTGCACTACTATTGCCACTGTTTTATTGTACATAATAAATCCTGAAGACTTTTTTTTGCCTTTAGCATGTTTCACACTTCTGTCTTTTGCACTAATCTTGAGTGAAGTACATTTCTCCTGAGTGAGATCAATAAAGTCCATCTTATCGGACTCTACGTGTGAAAAGCACGCAGTCTGTTTGCATTATAAACTGTAGTTCCTAAAATAGTGCTGAGGCCTCGGACATGGCGCCCTTTATGGTGAGTTTCTTACTTACCAGACTACATCTATTGATGCGACTGCGCTGGGGGCCTTCTCCGGCTTCGTGCTGCACCTCGGGCGTCCTCTCATGTGCCTGCAGACATGCCTCCACCCCTGCATCAAAGACACCCAACAGTTAAAGCTCATTATGCGGACTCGAAACAGTGACATGGCTCTGGTCAGACACATTTGTTGACAGAGCGAGAAGCCTGGCTGCGAGATGGAGTTAATGAAGCCATTTTGTTATGGAGCCCAACTTGGTGCAAACAGTGAAACTACATGAGGAAATACAGACTGTTGTATTAAATATAGGCTAAAAGGCGATGTGAATTAGATTGACCTGAAATTGAACTCTGTCTGTCTCCAAGCAAAAAGAAAGACCTTGTATTGCCCTACTCCCCTTGTCCCATTTTGTCCAAAGTGCATGGGTGAGTTAATGATAGTTAATCTGGGGGGATTCTGCTAATCCTTTCAAGTTGTGAAAGAAGGAGATGGAGTCCAGAATCTGGAGGAGAAGCCTTGAGATCCCTCTGCCTTATCTCAAAGGAACTAATAAATCTATAGAATTAGGGAGGGGTAGTGCGTGAATGATTTCTGTTTAGGTCTGGCGAGACGGAGAAGACCTGATGGAGGCCGGACCCTGGACCAAGAGCTGACTGATACGACACGCCCCTTCTTCCCCTTGCACATTTACTTAATGAATAGCTTGAATGTGTGTGTTTTTTTTCTTCAGTCCGGATCAGGGTTTAGCTGTGTGACTTGGTGGAGCGCCCAACCAATGTTACACCTTATATAGAGGATAGGGATTAGATACTTTTTGGTCCGGACAGCTGTTTTAGATTCTTTTTGTATTAGGGAAATAAACCTTTTTGAATTTAACTTTCTGAATCATGGTCATCTTTATAAGGGATTTTGAACACGTCATTTTTTAATATAATAAGAGACAGGGTGAAGCAGAAAGTTATTGACATTTAAACTTTTCCGCAAGTATGAAACACATATATATTAAATATGTACATCTTCTTGGGGCATGAGGCACACATTTCAATACATAAAGTGTCAGTGTTTTGCGATAGACAGACACTTTATTGATGTCTATCAACGGGGGGTAGGAGAAATTCAGGTGTCCAGTAGCAGCAAAAATTAAAATAAAATTGATAATTCTAAAAACATAATAAAAGTAATAATCAGCAATATTATAATAATAATATAGCATAAATATAACATAGCTTTTATTCACACCTTTATATCAAAAAATAAACATTCATAGCAATCATCAGCTCTCAATATGGACATGATATCTGCAAATGTATGGATATGATACAAAACTATCTTTCATCCTTCGCCCAAAATATACTTAAAACACTTTAATGTGACGGTTAATACAATAATAAAAGTGTGGCCTGTCAAGAATTTAAAAAACTTGACCTAAAATTGTCAGACACCACAATCATGCAGCTGAAGGAGTTACTCACTTTCCCGTTCACAATTTGACTAAAAAAAATGCAATATCTAACTGAACACATACTGTATATCATAAAATAAAATACATAATGGAAATCCACAGAGATCTACATTATTGCTCCTCCATAATCAGGCACAAGGACAGACTGAAAGTGGGAGCAAGACGTGAACAACAGGGAGCAAGCCCAGAGATGGATCCACAAAAACAAAACGCACACTTTAAATGTATTCTTTATGCGTCTTGACTGTTTCCCACACAACACTGCAGAACACTCCCAGTCGGACAAACATCAGCGCTCAAGGACACAACCAAGGTGCCACACTCTATAGACACACAACTGGATTTATCCTTCTCCAAATTGACAAAGACGGAATGAAAACAGCTCCAGTTTCCGCAAAGCATTCATCAAATCAAACAAGAAAAAGACGGGAATGTTTCATCAAGAGAAACCGTCCTTTAGGGTTGAAGCAGGAGCGTGCACGTGCAGCCGAAGGACTTGTTAGCAAACGTTGAGTTACAAATTACACCCACTTCGCTGCATGTGAAAATAGTGATGACACATGTTTATAATGGCCTCTCCGGGAACTACTGCGGTACAATGAAGAATACGGCTCCGAGCTCAGCCTGGACTCACAAACGCCTGCCCACTCCCATCGCCGCAGGTAAACAGCCAATTAAGAACACGGTAATGTCGGCGTGTCTAAATGAGAAGTCCTGCGGTGGTAGTTAGTTTGTAAAATATTGATTTAGATGAAAAAACCTGTATCACACATTGTATAAAAGATAAAGGTGCACTTTATTGAACCCCGTAGAGCACAGGTTCCAGTGGCCCCTGGGATGATTTTAAATTATTATATTAAATAGCAGCATTGACGGTATTAGGCGACAATGGCATGTTATCCATTACTAATTTTCTCAAGAATACCATAACATTTAATTCCTTAAGCCAACATGTAATTAGAAGTTAGTTGTTATGCTATGTTTTTACATTTCAAGGCGGATTTAAGATAAGATAAGATAAACCTTTATTAGTCTCACAGTGGAGAAATTTCAGTGTCAGATTTCCCAATTTGTTAGTAAAAAAACGCCCTCTCCACTTTTTGAACAAAACTCTCTGGTCTTATTTGACGAGCATGAATCACCAGAATGATTGACAGTTGGGAGGACCAATAGTCTGATGATCCACCCGGAAGTAGAAAATCTTCACATTAACCTTCAATATTTGGTCCAGTTTTGGTCCAGTCCACAGGAACTGAACTAAATCTAATCAGAAAAGAATATCCAGTGTAACTAATGTGAAACAAGTCATTTATATTAGATACCTTCATATTATAAAAAGTATAAAAAAATGAAACCCACTTCTTTCGGCCCCTGAACGGCCCTTTAATTTTTTTTCGGCCCTCAACCAAAATAAGTTTGACACCCCTGCCGTAGAGCAATTCATCCTCTGCATTTGACCCATCCTGATGCCGCTAAGGCTTACGTCAGGAGCAGTGGTCGCCGTAGTAACAGCGCCCGGGAAACCATCTCCAGATGTTGATGCTCGGCTTGGTCAGGACCAGAGCTGGAGGGTTTAACCTAGTGAGCATGTTTTTAGTGGTAGGGGAAACCGGAGCACCTGGAGGAAACCTACGCAAGCACGGGGAGAAAAAGATAGACCAATGTGATCCTGTGAAATGGACTTTAAAATGACAATCTGACATTCTAGTTTTGTGTCGTGTCAAAAGCAGAAAGTATTGGAACATGAAAATTAATTTATTACTTAAAAAAATAATAATAATACGCAACTGTTAAGAAACTATAAGATAGAAGAGCTGCTTCAGTTTGTACGTCAGAATCCAGTGAAAATAATTTCAGTTATTAATTTGTCTAATGTTAGTAATTGTAATGAGATTATTCTAAGTACAATTAATCCAATCTTGGCGTCTGTGGGATCAGAACAAGGACAAGTGTGAAATGGTAATAAAACAGACCAAGTCATTTGTAGTGACTTTAATAACAATAATGCCAAGGCACAGTATGCTTCTAATTCCCCAGCCCCAGTTAATTACCAGAGTCCTTTGTCTGAATAATTAATATATAAAGTATTGAATATGTATTTATATAGTCAAAGCGGTTTACAATTGTGTGCATTTGTCTCTGACTCCACACAGAGATGGAGCAGGGCCAGTACAGGAGGCACAGATCTATTGTACATGTTTTTAGTGGTAGAGGAAACCGGAGCACCTGGAGGAAACCTACGCAGACATGGGGAGAACACCACTCCACTAAGAAAGGCCCTGTTCAGACCCAGGACCTTCTTGCCGAGAAGCGAGAGTGCTAACCACTCAGCCACCGTGCCGCCCATCAGGCCAAATTGGGATAGGGCTGCACGATATCGGAAATTAGTGCAAAATTCGATATTCGCTATATAATTGCGATAACGATATTGCAATATTTTTCTTCTTTCACCTAAAATTGCATCTGCATTGAAAAGCGAGAGAAATAACAAAAAATAGGCACGACATTAATTAAATTCACATGCTTTGATTTATATACTTGTTTGTTGTTCTTGTTGAATGTCGATGTGTCTGTTTTGTTGTCTTTAAGAAAGAACAAAAAAATCTTGGATATTTTTTATATAGATATCGCACGCACCAATATCACGATAACGATATTTTCCCGATATATCGTGTAGCCCTACTCTGGGATTGCCATCAGAAGATAAATTATTGCCCACATCAGAAATGTTCCCCAGTATACACACTTCCACCTCCAAAATAATCTGCGCCCACAGCCTCGTCATCTCCCATTCTGTCTTTCTGTAATCGTCTCCTCCAAAGAAATGACTCCATAGATGCTTAACCAAAAATCTGCACCCAGTCCTCTCCACCCTGCACCCAGTCCTCTCTCCACCCTGCACCCAGTCCTCTCTCCACCCTGCACCCAGTCCTCTCTCCACCCTGCACCCAGTCCTCTCATCCACCCTGCACCCGTCCTCTCTCCACCCTGCACCCAGTCCTCTCTCCACCCTGCACCCAGTCCTCTCCACCCACCCTGCACCCAGTCCTCCCTCCACCCTGCACCCAGTCCTCTCCATCCACCCTGCACCCAGTCCTCTCCATCCACCCTGCACCCAGTCCTCTCTCCACCCTGCACCCAGTCCTCTCTCCACCCTGCACCCAGTCCTCTCTCCACCCTGCACCCAGTCCTCTCTCCACCCTGCACCCAGTCCTCTCTCCACCCTGCACCCAGTCCTCTCTCCACCCTGCACCCAGTCCTCTCTCCACCCTGCACCCAGTCCTCTCCACCCTGCACCCAGTCCTCTCTCCACCCTGCACCCAGTCCTCTCTCCACCCTGCACCCAGTCCTCTCTCCACCCTGCACCCAGTCCTCTCTCCACCCTGCACCCAGTCCTCTCCACCCTGCACCCAGTCCTCCACCTGCACCCTGCTCCACCTGCCAGTCCTCTCTCCACCCTGCACCCAGTCCTCTCTCCACCCTGCACCCAGTCCTCTCTCCACCCTGCACCCAGTCCTCTCTCCACCCTGCACCCAGTCCTCTCTCCACCCTGCACCCAGTCCTCTCTCCACCCTGCACCCAGTCCTCTCTCCACCCTGCACCCAGTCCTCTCTCCACCCTGCACCCAGTCCTCTCTCCACCCTGCACCCAGTCCTCTCCACCCTGCACCCAGTCCTCTCCACCCTGCACCCAGTCCTCTCGCCACCCTGCACCCAGTCCTCTCGCCACCCTGCACCCAGTCCTCTCCACCCTGCACCCAGTCCTCTCCACCCTGCACCCAGTCCTCTCCACCCTGCACCCAGTCCTCTCCACCCTGCATCCAGTCCTCTCTCCACCCTGCACCCAGTCCTCTCCACCCTGCACCCAGTCCTCTCTCCACCCTGCACCCAGTCCTCTCTCCACCCTGCACCCAGTCCTCTCTCCACCCTGCACCCAGTCCTCTCTCCACCCTGCACCCAGTCCTCTCCACCCTGCACCCAGTCCTCTCTCCACCCTGCACCCAGTCCTCTCCACCCTGCACCCAGTCCTCTCCACCCTGCACCCAGTCCTCTCCACCCTGCACCCAGTCCTCTCCACCCTGCACCCAGTCCTCTCTCCACCCTGCACCCAGTCCTCTCTCCACCCTGCACCCAGTCCTCTCTCCACCCTGCACCCAGTCCTCTCTCCACCCTGCACCCAGTCTCTCTCCACCCTGCACCCAGTCCTCTCTCCACCCTGCACCCAGTCCTCTCTCCACCCTGCACCCAGTCCTCTCTCCACCCTGCACCCAGTCCTCTCTCCACCCTGCACCCAGTCCTCTCTCCACCCTGCACCCAGTCCTCTCTCCACCCTGCACCCAGTCCTCTCCACCCTGCACCCAGTCCTCTCCACCCTGCACCCAGTCCTCTCCACCCTGCACCCAGTCCTCTCCACCCTGCACCCAGTCCTCTCTCCACCCTGCACCCAGTCCTCTCTCCACCCTGCACCCAGTCCTCTCTCCACCCTGCACCCAGTCCTCTCTCCACCCTGCACCCAGTCCTCTCTCCACCCTGCACCCAGTCTCTCTCCACCCTGCACCCAGTCCTCTCTCCACCCTGCACCCAGTCCTCTCTCCACCCTGCACCCAGTCCTCTCTCCACCCTGCACCCAGTCCTCTCTCCACCCTGCACCCAGTCCTCTCTCCACCCTGCACCCAGTCCTCTCTCCACCCTGCACCCAGTCCCTCTCCACCCTGCACCCAGTCCTCTCCACCCTGCACCCAGTCCTCTCCACCCTGCACCCAGTCTCTCTCCACCCTGCACCCAGTCCTCTCTCCACCCTGCACCCAGTCCTCTCTCCACCCTGCACCCAGTCCTCTCTCCACCCTGCACCCAGTCCTCTCACCCGCACCAGTCCTCTCCACCTGCACCCAGTCCTCTCTCCACCCTGCACCCAGTCCCTCTCCACCCTGCACCCAGTCCTCTCCACCCTGCACCCAGTCCCTCTCCACCCTGCACCCAGTCCTCTCCACCCTGCACCCAGTCCTCTCTCCACCCTGCACCCAGTCCTCTCTCCACCCTGCACCCAGTCCTCTCTCCACCCTGCACCCAGTCCTCTCTCCACCCTGCACCCAGTCCTCTCTCCACCCTGCACCCAGTCCTCTCTCCACCCTGCACCCAGTCCTCTCTCCACCCTGCACCCAGTCCTCTCTCCACCCTGCACCCAGTCCTCTCTCCACCCTGCACCTCTCCACCCCTGCACCCAGTCCTCTCTCCACCCTGCACCCAGTCCTCTTCCACCCTGCACCCAGTCCTCTCTCCACCCTGCACCCAGTCCTCTCCACCCTGCACCCAGTCCTCTCCACCCTGCACCCAGTCCTCTCCACCCTGCACCCAGTCCTCTCCACCCTGCACCCAGTCCTCTCCACCCTGCACCCAGTCCTCTCTCCACCCTGCACCCAGTCCTCTCTCCACCCTGCACCCAGTCCTCTCTCCACCCTGCACCCAGTCCTCTCCACCCTGCACCCAGTCCTCTCTCCACCCTGCACCCAGTCCTCTCCACCCTGCACCCAGTCCTCTCCACCCTGCACCCAGTCCTCTCCACCCTGCACCCAGTCCTCTCCACCCTGCACCCAGTCCTCTCTCCACCCTGCACCCAGTCCTCTCTCCACCCTGCACCCAGTCCTCTCTCCACCCTGCACCCAGTCCTCTCTCCACCCTGCACCCAGTCCCTCTCCACCCTGCACCCAGTCCTCTCTCCACCCTGCACCCAGTCCTCTCTCCACCCTGCACCCAGTCCTCTCTCCACCCTGCACCCAGTCCTCTCTCCACCCTGCACCCAGTCCTCTCCACCCTGCACCCAGTCCTCTCCACCCTGCACCCAGTCCTCTCCACCCTGCACCCAGTCCTCTCTCCACCCTGCACCCAGTCTCTCTCCACCCTGCACCCAGTCCTCTCCACCCTGCACCCAGTCCTCTCTCCACCCTGCACCCAGTCCTCTCCACCCTGCACCCAGTCCTCTCCACCCTGCACCCAGTCCTCTCCACCCTGCACCCAGTCCTCTCCACCCTGCACCCAGTCCTCTCCATCCACCCTGCACCCAGTCCTCTCCACCCTGCACCCAGTCCTCTCTCCACCCTGCACCCAGTCCTCTCCATCCACCCTGCACCCAGTCCTCTCCACCCTGCACCCAGTCCTCTCCATCCACCCTGCACCCAGTCCTCTCCACCCTGCACCCAGTCCTCTCCACCCTGCACCCAGTCCTCTCTCCACCCTGCACCCAGTCCTCTCCACCCTGCACCCAGTCCTCTCCACCCTGCACCCAGTCCTCTCCATCCACCCTGCACCCGGTCCTCTCTCCACCCTGCACCCAGTCCTCTCTCCACCCTGCACCCAGTCCTCTCTCCACCCTGCACCCAGTCCTCTCCATCCACCCTGCACCCAGTCCTCTCTCCACCCTGCACCCAGTCCTCTCCATCCACCCTGCACCCAGTCCTCTCCACCCTGCACCCAGTCCTCTCCACCCTGCACCCAGTCCTCTCCATCCACCCTGCACCCAGTCCTCTCCACCCTGCACCCAGTCCTCTCCACCCTGCACCCAGTCCTCTCTCCACCCTGCACCCAGTCCTCTCTCCACCCTGCACCCAGTCCTCTCCACCCTGCACCCAGTCCTCTCCATCCACCCTGCACCCAGTCCTCTCCACCCTGCACCCAGTCCTCTCTCCACCCTGCACCCAGTCCTCTCTCCACCCTGCACCCAGTCCTCTCCATCCACCCTGCACCCAGTCCTCTCCATCCACCCTGCACCCAGTCCTCTCCATCCACCCTGCACCCAGTCCTCTCCATCCACCCTGCACCCAGTCCTCTCTCCACCCTGCACCCAGTCCTCTCTCCACCCAGTCCTCTCTCCACCCTGCACCCAGTCCTCTCTCCACCCTGCACCCAGTCCTCTCCACCCTGCACCCAGTCCTCTCCACCCTGCACCCAGTCCTCTCCACCCTGCACCCAGTCCTCTCTCCACCCTGCACCCAGTCCTCTCCATCCACCCTGCACCCAGTCCTCTCCATCCACCCTGCACCCAGTCCTCTCCATCCACCCTGCACCCAGTCCTCTCTCCACCCTGCACCCAGTCCTCTCTCCACCCTGCACCCAGTCCTCTCCACCCTGCACCCAGTCCTCTCCACCCTGCACCCAGTCCTCTCCACCCTGCACCCAGTCCTCTCTCCACCCTGCACCCAGTCCTCTCCACCCTGCACCCAGTCCTCTCCACCCTGCACCCAGTCCTCTCCACCCTGCACCCAGTCCTCTCTCCACCCTGCACCCAGTCCTCTCCATCCACCCTGCACCCAGTCCTCTCCATCCACCCTGCACCCAGTCCTCTCCATCCACCCTGCACCCAGTCCTCTCTCCACCCTGCACCCAGTCCTCTCTCCACCCTGCACCCAGTCCTCTCCACCCTGCACCCAGTCCTCTCCACCCTGCACCCAGTCCTCTCCACCCTGCACCCAGTCCTCTCTCCACCCTGCACCCAGTCCTCTCTCCACCCTGCACCCAGTCCTCTCTCCACCCTGCACCCAGTCCTCTCCATCCACCCTGCACCCAGTCCTCTCCATCCACCCTGCACCCAGTCCTCTCCATCCACCCTGCACCCAGTCCTCTCCATCCACCCTGCACCCAGTCCTCTCCATCCACCCTGCACCCAGTCCTCTCTCCACCCTGCACCCAGTCCTCTCTCCACCCTGCACCCAGTCCTCTCTCCACCCTGCACCCAGTCCTCTCCACCCTGCACCCAGTCCTCTCCACCCTGCACCCAGTCCTCTCCACCCTGCACCCAGTCCTCTCCACCCTGCACCCAGTCCTCTCCACCCTGCACCCAGTCCTCTCCACCCTGCACCCAGTCCTCTCCCACCTGGTCACTCTGGGGGACTGAGCTTTCACCTCCTCAGCCCCAATATTAGACCTCACTGACCCTCTTCAAGTCTAGCCTCAAAATCCACCTTTTACAAATTGCTTTCCCTGTATAATTTTCTATTATCTATGTTTTAATCTAGTAATAATGTTTTAAATGTAGTGATTATTTTGTAAAGTGACCAATAAGATATTCCATTATTCATCCCACAGTGGGCGTCATTGTTGCAGATTACAGCAGAGAAAGAGACACTTCAGTTCCCCAGACTAGTCGAGGGGCCGACATCACGGACTGAAACTGTCTTGACCGTTCTGAGTTCTAAAATGATCCATGACAGAGCTGAAGTTGGCTGAATGACACATGTTTACCATCTCACCAGCTACATTAGCATCATTAACGGAAGTTTGTGACACCATCAAAAACCATGTGCAGTACAGTTTGTGTAAATAAGGCCAACGACACACAAGGCTTTAGAACAAGGTCTTTATTGTCTGAGCTGAAGTTGGATGGATGATACATTTAAAAAAATATATTCTTGTTCTTCCCTAAATCACTACAGGCACCATCTCAGACTTAAAAAGAACATTGAAATCACAAACACAGAACAGAGAATCAACAGTTAAGACAGATAGGGAGAGACCACATGGTATCGGTCTATAGGGAGAGACCACATGGTATCGGTCTAAAGGGAGAGACCGCATGGTATCGGTCTATAGGGAGAGACCGCATGGTATCGGTCTATAGGGAGAGACCACATGGTATCGGTCCAAAGGGAGAGACCGCATGGTATCGGTCTATAGGGAGAGACCACATGGTATCGGTCCAAAGGGAGAGACCGCATGGTATCGGTCCATAGGGAGAGACCGCATGGTATCGGTCCATAGGGAGAGACCACATGGTATCGGTCCAAAGGGAGAGACCGCATGGTATCGGTCCATAGGGAGAGACCACATGGTATCGGTCCATAGGGAGAGACCACATGGTATCGGTCCAAAGGGAGAGACCGCATGGTATCGGTCCATAGGGAGAGACCACATGGTATCGGTCCAAAGGGAGAGACCGCATGGTATCGGTCCATAGGGAGAGACCACATGGTATCGGTCCAAAGGGAGAGACCACATGGTATCGGTCCATAGGGAGAGAGACCACATGGTATCGGTCAATAGTGAGAGAGTCCACATTGTATTGGTCCATAGGGAGAGAGACCACATGGTATCGGTCAATAGTAGGGATGTAAATCGGCGACCGGTTAACCGGTGGTTGACCGTCACAGCGTTAACCGGTCAAAGCTGTCGGTTAAAAAAGAGAAAACGGGGAGAGGGGAGGTCTCTTAATAACGCTATTTTAAGCCCTATTTGCACAGTGTGACGAGCGGGTCTGTATCTAGCTGTGTGCGCCCATGTATTATAAACTCCGGGACGACTCTCACGCCGCACGAGCCACATATGCACACACACACGCACGCACACACACACACACACTTTCCCCCTCTCCATACGTAACATCCACACGCATCATCTCTCCCCTCTGTTACCGTCAAAGTTGCACACTGGCGCGGGTCAGAACTACATTGGAGCTTACATTTACACACACACACACATATACATACACACACACACATACATACACACACACACATACCGGCCTGTCGCGCTCCTCTGTGTCACGGAGCCCAAAGGATTCGCGCAAATACGCGGCTCCAGTCAAACCACATGGAACATGTTTGTGTTTATGGTCCTCGGGATCAGCTCCACACACATCACTTGTATTTAAACTTTAGCAAAGACCTGTGAGACGCGGCTCGTCACTCGCTGCTCTGACCATGTGGACGAGCCGTCGTTTGCTGCTAGAAAGTTTTGGTATTAACCCGCAGCACAGCAGAATGGGAAGATTAAAAAAGCAGTTCTCTGTGCGCAAAGGTGCCGGAGCTGTTGCGGGTTTGGGCGCCGCTGTCTCCGCTCTGATCCAGTAGAACGCAGAGCTGCACTTATGAAAAGTACGCGGCTCGAAATGGCTGTTATTTCAAAGAACGTGGACTATTTTAAACTACGCGGTTAACCGGTTTCAACCGGTTAATGAGGCTCGGTGGTCGGTCATGAAAATTCATAGTTTTTACATCCCTAGTCAATAGTGAGAGAGACCACATGGTATCGGTCCATAGTGAGAGAGACCACATGGTATCGGTCCATAGTGAGAGAGACCACATGGTATCGGCCCATAGTGAGAGACCACATGGTATCGGCCCATAGTGAGAGATCACATGGTATCGGTCCATAGTGAGAGACCACATGGTATCGGTCCATAGTGAGAGACCACATGGTATCGGTCCATAGTGAGAGACCACATGGTATCGGTCCATAGTGAGAGACCACATGGTATTGGTCCATAGTGAGAGACCACATGGTATCGGTCCATAGTGAGAGACCACATGGTATTGGTCCATAGTGAGAGACCACATGGTATTGGTCCATAGTGAGAGACCACATGGTATCGGTCCATAGTGAGAGACCACATGGTATTGGTCCATAGTGAGAGACCACATGGTATCAGTCCATAGTGAGAGACCACATGGTATTGGACCATAGGGAGAGAACACATGGTATTGCTCCATAGTTAAAGTGTCCTGGATCACGCATGACAAAGTTGACTTGTTTTTACGATCTGAAATTCTGCTTTGGGTTTGCAAGGCAGAGGGCCACTTAAAATGACAGTGAGGGCCTCAATTGGCCCCCGGGCCCGAGTTTGGACCAGCCAACTCTGGTCTGGAGGTGTGGTTCATACTTACAGCTGTAGTGCACCACCCAGCTGCCCATCAGGACCCCCAGGAGACTGCTGAAAGTGGTGGGCATCTGTCCGTCAGGCACCACAACATGAGTCACTGAAAAAGGCAAAAGAAAAGAAGTTCAAAATGAAAAACTAACGCAGGGTAAAGTTTGCGCTCGTCCGTTTTGTCCTCTAGAGTTTGGAACAGAGTTATTTCACAGCCCTTGAAGAAGCCGGACATTTACCATAGAAGAAGTGCATAAATGATTGGGTTTGTGACCTTATGTTGTGTCTCAGGAGGAGCAGTGAGAGCCAAGAAGTTTTCCACACAAGCTGAGCCTGGAACAGCTAAAGGCCAAGTTGTGTATCACCAAAACACGAGGGATTGTGTAAACGTAAGACGCATACAAACTAAATACAGGTTTTGACGGCCATTTTATAGACTGGACACAATGTAAACATTTTTGAATATCCCAACATACATTTTCTCCTTATCAAAATTAAGGTTAAAGGAGCAGTGTGTAAAAATGTGGCCAAAAGTGGTACTGCAGCCTCTCCCACTCTCCCTGACTCAGGTTGCCAGATATGCAGACGAATCCAGCTGGGACCATAACAGCTGAATAGACAAGAGTTTTGTCAACAACACATCTATAACCAACACCTTTTTCACAAAGATAGAAATCCTGGTTTTATTCCTTGTTTTGTCGTTATGATTTGAGAATCATAACGAGACCTTTTTTAGTTCTGTGCCACATGGTACTTTACCAGTGAGATTAGCTCCACGCGGTGAGTTCTGGCGCCCGGATCACAAACTTTCTGATTGGTGAAACGGTGGAGGGCGGGACATCGAAATGAAAACAAGATTTAGAGGCTGGAAAAGTAATTTAGAAATTAAAATATCTCTGAACTACTGTTATCAGTTAAAGAAGTATTGTGCGACTTTGAGAGCCGTGAAGTCGGAGTCATCACAAAACCTACAAACGTCTTATGAAGATACTTATATATTTTCATGACAAAGCGCGTGATGGGGTTGTTGAATAATAACATACGGCTCTGAAAGCACCCGTCTCCTGAACCTGGAGCGAGTGGCAGAGAACAGAAGCTGATCCCAGGTTGTGAAGTCCCGAAGGAGTAAAAATGGTGCAATACATTAAGATTAAAACGCTGAATAACATTAGAAATAAATACAAGGCCAATGTCACGGTGAGAGAAGGAGCGATGTGCAGGAGTCAAGGTTTTAGAGAGTTTTAAAAAGAAGGCAGGGAAATATTAGCATGATTCATTATTTAATTTATGTTAAAGCATTTCTAAAAAGACAGACATGTTTTATGGTTGCACTGAGCAGGTTGTAAATGTTAAAAATGTCCAACACAAACCTGTTTCAGTTGTAGAAGAAGAAGAAGGGCCTTATCTGTCCCACAATGGGGAGATTTCAGTTTGATGCACACACACACACACACAGGGGGTGGGCAAAATATATCGTAGACAATATCGTGAAAGTCAATTTGAAGACTCGAATTATTTCAAAACATTAAAATTAGAGAAGCACAGATGCCCATTGGTCTAATGTGTGCCTAAAAAGCCAATCACTGCTTTATTTGTACATTTCAGTAAATATTGAGCCTTTTTAATGGATGTGTTCTTTCTGTGTTACTTGAATTTGATTTTTAATGTTATTTTATGTGAGCGCATGTTTTGCAAAGACGTGTGAAGCACTTTACAAATAAAGCTTATATTTAGATCTCCACTGTCTCGATCTAAAATGCCCTGGCAACAAACATAACTTCCGCGCTCCTTATAGGCAAACTTGGGTTAAGTGTCTTGCCCAAGGACACGACGACAGCAGACCTCAGTGGGAGTCGGTGGAGAAGGTTAAAAATGTCCAACCCAAACCTGCTTCGGTGACGGCGTCGCTGATCGTGGCCCGGAGCAGCCGTCCCAGTCTGCAGAGCTGCTGCTGCTCGCTCGCCGACAGCTTACTGGACACAAACACCAGAGTTCCATCGCTTCTTCCCACGCTGGATTTTACCTGAAAGAAAAAACGACTTTTGAACTCTGCGTAGTTAAATCGAGAGAATTATACACGTTGATTTTGCAGCGGGAAATGAAGAATGCATACCACAGCGGGGCTCAGAGCTGTTGTTGCAGTTCTTTCAGTGGTTTCCTGGAAAATCTCCAACATCTCACGACTCGCTGCATAATCTGAAGGCCTCTTTCCGTACAAATTACTTCGGAAAAAATATAAAACGCAAACACAGTTAATGGTACTGGGGGAACGAGCTTGCAGCATCTTAGAATAGATTCCAGTGACATCTGTTAACTCGGAAACAATATGGCAAACACAGTGAACAGTCCGGGATAATACAAAACTATACAAAAAAATACTAAAAATATATATAATTTATTCATTCATAACTGCAGCTGAACACAACATTTGCAAGTAAAATGATGCTTTCTAGTGACTGTCAAACAGGATGGTCAAAAGTATTTCATATAGCTAGAGCTAAAAAAAAAAGGCTGCAAACTCATAACCTTCCTTGACCTTGTTTGGAAATGGGAAAACTTTATTAAATGATGACAGTGTGAAGACAGAGGTGACCGTGGGACTGGAGCAGAAGAACGCAGCGGGTCTCAGAGATTAGGCGTCAGCAAAGATAACACCTGGGGGACAATTAATAGGTCCACTGGTCCATAAAATAATTCATTTGGATTCATATCCGCGGCGCTGTGCACATAAATACAAACAAGCTCCTGTGCAGACGGTGTGTGGCAGTCGCACTCACGCACCAGAGAAGCTGCAGAGCCATAACGTAAGAGAAATAATAACGGCTGCAGGACTACGCCACGAAGAGTCCTGCTGATGTCTGTCTAAGATTGGCACTTTTTGACTTTGAAAACTTAAGGAGCGTTAACTTTTAAGATGGCTAATATAACTATAACTTTAAGATGGCTAATATAACTATAACTATAAGCTAGCTAATATATTAGCTAGCTGGTTTCGATCTGGATCTGGAGTCGGGTCAAAGGATGTGGTGTCGGCTCGGTAAAAGCTCTGTCTGCTTTTGTTTTGATTTCTTTATCAAAGGTGCTAACTAAAGCGTAAACATGATAAATGCTTGATGCCTTGATGACATATGGCGCCCGGGCTCCAGGACTGAGTGTTGACTGTAAATCGACAATTACAGGAGGTATTTATGTCCTTTTGTCATGAAAAGACAATTTTTTTTTTTTCTTTGTCTTCAAGGTCCTGTCTCATGTGTTTTATTTATTTATGCATTTATTTTACTACACAAAATATTAATAAAAAAATTAAAATAAAATAAACAGTAGCTCAGTTGGTAGAGCATTGGCCTTCAGGCCTGAAGGTTGTGGGTTCAATTCCCACCTCTACACCTTCTCCACTGATGACTGCTGTTGTTGTGTCCTTGGGCAAGACACTTAACCCCACTTTGCCCAAAGCCCCCACTGAAAGATCAAGGCTATGCTCACAGTCAGAGAGCAGCCGTCCTCCTGTGGACTCACCACCTGCAGAGGGTCAGTGAGGGGCTGGTGCTATGAGACTTGGGTGGCATCTCTGACCCCCCTGACCCAGAAATGGATTAAAGGGTAGAAAATGGATGGATGGATGGAAATAAAATAAAATTTCTAAAATAATATAGTCCTGTTTGTGGTGGACAGCCTCCACAGTTGAGTGAATCCCTTCCCCAGTGCAAAGCCATATGAACAAGGGCAGTTGTTTATGGATCAGTTGGGATGATCCAATGTGTTTAAACTTCTCAATCGCACATGAAAACAACAGAAAAAGTAGTGATTATTTGTTTTAATTAAGCGTAAAAGCACAATAATTATCACTCTTTTGCCATTTAGCGTGCCTTGTTATTGAAGAGCATTGATTTCTAAACTTTGGATAAAAGACACAAAGCAATTTCAGTGGACACTAATTATGATTTTTTGGCAAATCAACGAGGCATTTTGGTAAACTGCAGCTAAAAATCAAAGTCAATTCTAATAAAGTCAGTCTGCAGAAGCTTGTATCCTGTTGTGTTCCCTCTGAAGTAATTCAAGAACGAGACAGAATCGTTTCAGACCTGCTCATGTGTTCGTGGGTCTAAACACTTACAGCAGGTTTGTGGAGGCCCCGAGCTGCAGCAGGCGTCTGACTACAGCCGAGTGTCCGTTCCTCACAGCGTCATGAAGCGGCGTCTCGTTCTTGTAGCCGGGCGTGTTCAGAAGCGCTCCCATCGAAACCAGGATTTCCACAACTGCCAGGTGCCCAAGGTTACAGGCTTCATGCTGCGGAAACAAGACGGTCTCAAGGCTGTTCCAAAGTTACAAAAATGAAAAGAAGTCTGTGAAATAAGAGTTTCCTGACCAAAGTAGGAAAACTAAAGCCAGGTTCACACGAGAGGCTTTGAAATTTGTCGGCCGATTTTCCTAACCTGAGAGACCCCACACACGGAGAGGGTCTAACCACTTTGGTCGTACAGTGTGTGGTCCGCAGCCACACGGCAAAATCACACAAACCACACACGAACCGATTTCTCCCCGGAGCATTCCCAGGTCAGACGGAAATCTCACAAAATCTCTCGAGATCAAACGTGACTTCAGAGTAAACAATCATGGCGGACGAAGAGGAGGCAGTGGCGACAGTGGCGACAGTTTGATGATTGTTTTTAACAGAGAAAAAGTTTTATCAAAGGAAAAGAAATGGAGACAACGCGAGCATGGACTATACATATTTATGCCATTGACTTATGATTTTTTTTACGTTGTTTCCTCGCCGCCTCGTCACGTCTTCTGATTGGCTACACGCCACAGTCATGGCAACGCGCTTGTCTGTCCTCGGGGGACACCACACATGAAGAGAAATCGGGCCAAAACAATCCAACATGTTGGATATCCCCGTTTTGAGATCGGAGCAAGTCCCAAAGTCCTTCCGAGCAACAAGCGCAGTCTTAAGACACCACGCAGGGCATGAAAATCCATCAGATTTTTATACGAAAATCAGAGTGTTCTTAAGATTGTCGTTAGGGGTAAATCGGGTCCAAAATTGGCCTAATTTTCCTGCCGTGTGAACCGGGCTTAACACTTTCTGGTCGTGTCAATTGTGTGTTTACATAATTCAATATTTTACAGATGACTTTTCTTGGTGGGACCATAGACTGGGACAGAACCACTGGTTAATATTTATTGCATTTTTACATAAATGTAAATGTGCACTTTATCTATCCCCAAAGGGAAATTCCTCGCTGCATTTGACCCAGATCCTGATGCCACTAAGGCTTACGTCAGGAGCAGTGGTCGCCGTAGTAACAGCGCCCGGGAACCAATCTCCAGATGTTGATGCTCGGCTTGGTCAGGACCAGAGCTGGAGGAATTTACCTTTTGAGCAAGTGGTAAGGGAAACCGGAGCACATGGAGGAAACCTACGCAGGCCCTGTGCTAACCACTCAGCCACTGCCCAACATCATCCAAGAGGCTTCTTAGACAGAATCAGTCCACATGTGATCAAGTTTAAATACTACACACAATTAAGACAAAAAGGTATCTTACAGTTTAAGATAATCAACTCTGAAGAATTTAAATGGGGTCGATGTGGTCCTGAGGCTGCGCTTTGGCCAAGTCTGCTTTAGAGCACCCCCTGGAGATGTTAAGGCTTATTGCTAAACTATTAAAGCTGCATTACCTCACCTTTATTTTTGAATTCTTTACAAAAATCCAATCCATATCCATGCAGTGCATTGGGATAAACGTCCTTTTGAAGAAAAAGTAGCGCAGATTTGTGCTGGGGGATCGAGTTTTCGTGAAACAAGAAAGAGAATTTGTTTTGGGTCCAGATTGTGACCAATCACAGCGCACCACTGGCCCCCACTTTCTTGAGAAAAGCCACAGGTCTGTGGTTAGCACAGACAGCTGAGGTAAACAAGCGGCAGAGGCTAACCTGAAACTTCTGTGTCTTTGTAACCGGTTACTGCTTACTCAGAGAAACAGACAAAAGAAAGTCTTGTTCCTCCGCGCTTCCTGGTTCTATCATTATCCATATTGTGAGACGTGAGCTCCGTAAACAACAGTGGGTGTGGGGTGGTGGGGGGCGATAGCTTCGTGGGTGCGGGGAGGAGAAAGAGCGAGGCCAGCGCTTACTTTTGAAACTGCTGCTCAAGTCAGTTAGTGCAGCTTTAAGTAAGTAATGTTTATTCATATAGCTCATTTGACAGACCAAGGTCAACCAAAGCGCTTTACAATTGTTTTAGAGTTTTCCATTCTCTACTTCCGGCGCCAGCTCCCGCTGTGCAGCTCGTCACTTTGGCGCTCTTCTCTTTCCGACCCTTTCTCTATTTATTTCTTGTAAATGTGTTTTTTTATTTTTTATTTTCGTAGACAAGCGTTTATTTGTGCATTGTGCACACGGGAAGCCTAGCCTCGTGGACCTTCGCACTGGATTAACATGACTTCGGCACTTTTTTCGGAGTTCTCCGCTCACAGAGCCACGAGACCAGCGTGTCCCATTGTTTACACACGGCAGCAGCTTCTCGGACTTAGAGACTCCGCTTTCCGGCACTCAGAGAAGCCGGTGATCCCCTTGGAGATCCGTAGGAGACGCAGGGGCTCCAGAGGAGGCCGAAAGAGAAAGAGGAGACCGTATCTCCCCTCCATCATCATGGGGAACGTACGGTCCATCTCTAATAAGACTGAGGAGCTGACCGCACTGGTCCGCCATCAAAGAGAGTACAGACAATGTGGACTTATGTGTTTCTCTGAGACGTGGCTGTGTGGGAATATACCGGACTCTGGTCGCGCTGGAGGGATTTAAACTTGTGCGAGCGGACCGCTGCGCGGAGGGGAGTGGGAAGAGCAAAGTTGGGGGTGTCGCGGTCTACGTGAACGAGCAGTGGTGCATCCCGACGCACGTGCATGTGGTCCAGCGCACATGCACCCAGGATCTGGAGCTGCTCGCTGTGAGCATGAGACCCAGGTATCTGCCGCGGGAGTTTTCACACACCGTGGTTCTATGTGTCTACATCCCCCCGTCAGCAGACGCAGCCACAGCATGTGAGGAGATGCACAGAACTGTGACCCAGATCCAGACCCGCAGTCCCCGCGCTCTGATTCTGATCAGCGGAGACTTTAACCACGCCTCCCACTCCGCCACTCTCCCGACATTCAAACAGTATGTCACGTGCCCAACTCGTGGCAATAAGACTCTGGACCTACTGTATGTTAATGTGCGGGACGCATATGTAACCGGTCCCTGGGTTAACTAGACTTTTAATCAACAAGAGAGAACATCAATTGGCTAGATCAGAAGAGCTAGGTATCGGCTCTGGGAGTGAGTGAAACATACACAAGACAGTCTTTTGGGTTTTGTTGGTACCATATATTGCACACACATAAGACAAGGACACAGAGAGAACATTTACCCCACAACCCAACCCCAGTGAATGGCCATACGATATATACAAAGTCCAGTTCCAATGCAACAAAAGTCACAAATGCAACAAAAGTTCAAGCGGTATTCCAATAGTCCATTCAGTGCTTATTTCCCTGAGAGCGAAAATATTCCACACAGCGCGGAACACGGTTGGACGCGGTCGCCACGGACCGAGGCACCCGAGGAAGAGTTGAGGTTATGAAAATTAAAGAAGGCGGCTGCAGGAGCCTCCTACCCGTCCTGCTCAGAGCAGATGAAGTTCCGCTGACTCCTGAGTCCCAAGAGGACAATGTGGACCCCTTGTGGAGAGCCCAGTGGAGTTAAGCGAGATGATGACTCCAATAGTTCAGGTCTCTAGCTCGCCATCTGACAAGGCCTAGTCCCGAACTTCTGCCTTACTCGCTCTGAGAAGTAGCACGGACCCAGTCCTCGGCTCCTAAGCAACCGATTGCCACACATGTTAAACCAATCCAGCGTTTTAAAATAATTTTAGAAAGAATTCTACAAAACCTACCTGCAGCAATTCACCCTCCCAGCTTCAACCTCGCGTTACCGGTGTGTGTGCTACTGCCGGCATATAAGCCAATGAGAGTATAGCGCACAGTCACGTGACGCGGAGATGCATTCAATTCAATATAATACTAATTATTACAATGCTCAATACAATTATCAATATAATACTTTTTTTTTGATTTGATCTAAGAAGGGAATAAACTCGCAGGGTTTTCTACCTGGGTTACATCTACGCCTCCTCCCCCCTCCCCCCTCTCGGACGCTCTGATCACAGCCTGGTCCGTCTGTCTCCGGAATACACACCAGTGGTGAGAAGAAATCCAGCGCAGAAGAGGATTGTAAAAGTGTGGAGCGATGATGTGGATGAGATGCTGAGAGATTGTTTTCAAAACACTGATTGGGAAATGATCTGCAGCTCTCATGGTGAGGACATCGAGAGCCTGACACACTGCATTACAGACTATATTCTCTTCTGTGTGGATAACACTGTACCAACTAAGAAGGTGCGGTGTTTTTATAACAACCACCCATGGGTGACCCCTGAGCTTAAAGCCCTCCTGAACCTCAAGAAAAGAGCTTTCATCTCAGGGGACAGGGAGGAGCAGAAGAGGATCCAGCACGAGCTCCAGTGGAGGATCAGGAGGGCCAAGAGGGACTATGGGAAAAAGCTGGAGCAGAAGCTGGCCCAGGGAAACGCCCGCGACGTGTGGAGAGGCCTAAAGAACATCTCCGGCTTTGGACAGAGTGCCAGAGGAACAGCGGATGGAGACCAGCACCGGGCGGACGAATTTAACCAGCACTTCAACCGGTTTGATTCTCCCCCCTCTCCATCTGCCCCCCCTCCCGCCCCCACCTCTTCACACGTCCCCAGCCCAGTGGACACCGCCCAGTGGACACTGCCTCCGGCTGCCCCGGGCCCTCCTGCCCCCGCATCCCCAGCCCCCACCTCAGACAGTACACCCCGGTCCCCCCCCCCTCTCCATCACACCGGACCAGGTGAGGAGTCAGCTCCAGCGCCTGAAGCTGAGGAAATCCGCAGGACCGGACGGGATCAGTCCCAGGCTGCTGAGGACCTGTGCAGACCAGCTCTCTGGGGTCCTCAGCTACATGTACAACCTGAGCCTCAGCCTGGAGAAGGTCCCTGTCCTGTGGAAGACCTCCTGTGTGATCCCGGTTCCAAAAACCGCACACGCCAAGGAACCGGCTCACTACAGACCAGTCGCACTGACCTCCCACCTGATGAAGACCATGGAGCGGCTCATCCTCACCCATCTCCGCTCCGTGGTCAGCCCCACCCTGGACCCGCTGCAGTTCGCCTACAGATCCAACATCGGAGTAGAGGACGCCGTCATCTACTTCCTGCAGCGGACGCTCTCCCACCTGGAGCCCGCCGGGAGCGCTGTGAGGGTCGTGTTCTTCGACTTCTCCAGTGCTTTCAACACCATCAGGCCGGCACTGCTGCGGGGGAAGATGGAGGACGCGGGAGTGGACAGTAGCCTCACTGCATGGACCATCAACTACCTCTCAGACCGACCACAGTACGTGCGGCTGCGCAGCTGTGAGTCTGAGGTGGTCGTCTGCAGCACTGGGGCCCCTCAGGGCACTGTCTTCTCACCGTTTCTCTTCACCATCTACACCTCAGACTTCACACACGACACACACAGCTGTCACCTGCAGAAGTTCTCCAACGACTCCGCCATCGTGGGCTGTGTGTCTGAGGGGAACCAACTGGAATATCGGTCGGTTATCAAGGACTTTGTCGACTGGTGTGAGCGCAACCACTTGTGCTTGAACACCAGTAAGACCAAGGAGATGGTCATCGACTTCAGGAGAAAACCACTTTCCCACACGCTGCTGAACATCCAGGGGGAGGACATTGAGCTGGTGGACAGCTTCAAGTACCTGGGTGTTCACATTAACAATAAACTGGACTGGTCCCATAATACAAACGCCCTGCACAAGAAGGGCCAAAGTCGCCTCTTCCTTCTGAGGAGGCTGAGGTCCTTCTGAGTGAGCAGGCCTCTGCTCAGGACTTTTTATGACTCTGTGGTAGCTTCTGCCATTTACTACGCTGCCATGTGCTGGGCCCCGGGCAGCACAGAGCGGGACAGAAACAGACTGAACAAGCTGGTCAGGAGGGCCAGCTCCACTCTGGGCTGCTCCCTGGACTCTGTGGAGGAGGTGAGGGACAGGAGGGTGCTAGCCAAAGCCACCTCCATCATGAACAACACCTCCCACTGCACAGGACTGTAGAGGAGCTGAGGAGCTCCTTCAGTGGAAGACTGAGGCACCCTCAGTGTAGGAAGGAGCGCTACCGCAGGGCCTTTATCCCCACCGCTGTCAGACTGTACAATAAGTCACTTTAAATGATCACTGTGTGAAAACCTGCACTACTATTGACACTGTTTCCAATTGACACTTGTCACTTTTGTTGTACATAATTATTGTCACTTTTATTGTACATATATATCCTGCATGTAACATGTTTGCACATTTCCTCCCTTTGCACAATCTGAGTGTTCTATCCATGCCAAATGTGACATGTACATTTCTCCTCTGTGAGATAAATAAAGCAATCTTATCTTATCTCCACACATGGTGATAGTTAATACCAAAAATAGTTCATATTTATATATAGTTAATATTTGGCTAATATGTTGCATACTGGGCCTTTAATATTGAGAAAATAAGCATTGATCCAGTAGAGTAACAGTTGTGTGGTACCAGCGGTGTCCAGCCGGCGTTATCCTTCAGATTGGGGTCTGCCTCTTGCTCCAGCAGTTTTCTGACAGTTTCTGCATCTCCCTGAAAACACAAACATGACACGAGGCAACCTGTGAATGCTTCAAACAGCGGCACTGATCCCAAAGCACCAACATCGCGCTCCTATCAATCTTTCCACTGAGAGCCATTGATTCCGCCGGCCTGCTCCAGAGGGGATTATGGTTATGTTTACAGGGATCACATTAGTCCTTCTTCAGAGGATTGAGAGCACTAAACGGATCCACAGAAAAACCGCCTTAAGTGAAGCGATTATTTGGAGCGTAAGTGCAGAAGTCTGATTATCTGGCTATTAGGGCTTTGAACATAGAAATGATTCTGACCTTTTACTACAAAAACTACAAACAAAAACAAAAACAAGCATTTTTCACCTCATGGCAACAAGATTAATTATGGCCAGCAAGGGATTTTGTAATTAGTCAACTTCAGATGTGAATGAACTCTTGTTTGTCTTGAACTGTTGGAGACCCAAAGGTGTTCTTACAATTTTACACGTCCAGACTGATTCTGTGGAGTTCATTCCAAATTATAACGTCAACAGAAACGACTGAAATTGCCCAGAGTAGAACTTTTACTTCCCCCACGTCTCAACATTACCCCCTTTAACCCTCGTGCTATCCTCAGACCCGATTGTGTTTCATTTTTCCTTGCTCGACCTGCCTTCAGTCAGTCAGACACTTTAAGACCCTCATGTTGGTTTCTTTCTTCTACTTTTAATCATATTAATGTGGCGGGTCATGTGTGACAGCTTGGAGTCTTTCACGAAAGCCGAGGAAGAGGTTCTGGATCCTCTCTGATGCTAAATCTGCCCATTCTTGGCAAAAACCTTCAAATCCTGGTCTCTCTGGCATGAACAGGACATTTGAGATCGCCTCAGATCTGCTCAAATGTTGGAGTAAAAAAAAAAAGTATGTTTGAGAACTATAGCTGCACTCAAGCACGGAGATGGGAGGGGGCAGTATTTGTCTAGGTCAAATCTCCAAATAAAGAGTAAATAAAACTAATAAGATTCATGACAGATGTGCAGACTCCACATCTGCTGCTGTGACCTGATGGACTGGTGCATTTTAATACTATTGTATTCGGCACAGTGGCTGAGTGGATAGCACTCTCGCCTCTCAGCAAGAAGGTCCTGGGTTCGAATCCCAGTTGGACCAGGGCCTTTCTGAGTAGAGTTTGCATGTTCTCCCCGTGTCTGCGTAGGTTTCCTCCGGGTGCTCCGGTTTCCCCTACCACTAAAAATATGTACAATAGGTCTGACATGTGCCTCCTGTACTGGTGACCCCGCTCCCAAAAATCATAATTGTAAACCGCTTTGAGACTCCGATCTGCAGTGAAAAGGCGGTATATAAATAAAAGATTACTTACTTACTTACTATTGTCAGCTTTTTGTCAGTTCTGGAGGTTCTTTATGAATGCAGACTTTTAAACCGAGCTCTTAAAATCATCAATGACTCTTCTTGCCTTCCTTGTAAAGCCATGTTCCAGCTTCTTCCCTCGGGCAGAAGATATCGGTCGCTAAGATGGAAGACATCTCGCTATGCTAACAGCTTCTTTCCACAAGCCGTTATCAGTCTGAACAGAACACTTTTATTGTTGTTTTTACCCCTTGTATCGGGTTTTGTATTGTGATCTTTATTCTGTTGGTGCACACAGAGAACCTTTTTTTGCAAATGTATTCCAATGTAGTTTTCATACTGCACATGCCAAATAAAATGAATCTTAATCATTTTTCATTTGTTTTGTTTGGATGGAAGTATCTATTGATCCATCTGTCTAAACTTTCAACCACAGCCTGCCAAGAATGTCAGTAGTCAACTCTCTCCACTACAGTCAGGTAAGAAAAAGGAGAGGTTTTGATTTTAAATATTCATTCAAGATTATTGAGAAACCCGCTGACCTTTATGGCAGCGATATGCAGCGGCGTCTCTCCCTTATGGTTCCTCTTCATCACCGCGGGGCTTCCGGAGCAGAGGCGGGGAGATTTTGTGCTGATGCTGCTCGGGGAGGTGGAAGGGCTGTCTCCTAGCTCCACTCGGGGGCTCCGGGTTGCCTTTGAACACGCAGGACTGGACAGAGACGGAGAGCTCAGGACACAGGGCGCTCCACGACCTCCTGGTCTCCTCCTGCTCCCTGGCGAAGGCCGGGGACGTTTCGGTGTCAAGTCCAAGGCGCCGTTTTCCTCCGCCCTTGATCTTTTCACGGCAGGGGAAGGCTCATTCTCCTTCTTTCTCTCAGCATTGCTCTCCGTTTCACATTTACCAGCAGGAGGCGTGCAACTGGGTTCAGAATTGTGCAGTATTTCTGTGTTAGGCTCTGCTGCTTGGTCGTTGGATTTAGTTTCCAGGACAGTTCTCTGCACAGTGCCAGGGCTGAGTTCATTAGGAGTCCCCTGGGGCAATGGAGCACAAGGCGGGTTGGAGGTGACAGCAGGCCCTCCAAAGGAAACTCTCTTACCGGACCTGCGCGGCGGCGGCTCTATGCACGGCGGCTGATCCTTAAACGCCACGGGCCCCTCGGAGATGCCCCACTGCTCATTTACAGCCTGGAGCCGGCTCAGTTTCTGTGCGGCCGGATTCTTAGCGGCGCAAACTGATGCACGCTTTCGGCTCGGAGCACTTTTCTTTCCTCGCCTTTGGTTTCTCTTAATTGAGTTGCGTGTTTGAGGACTGCCAGAGTCTTGAGAAGAGGAAGTGAAATTAAAAACGGAAAGGTCTTTGGGTGGATTTGTCGTGTCTGCAGCGGTTGTTCCCGGAGGCGAGCGCTCTGGTGCTGTCTCCTCTGAAGCCTTTTCCACCAGACAGCGGATCTTTCGACTGCGAGGGCTGAACCAGATTTTGAAATTCTTCTTCTGGTTTGCGGCAGGGGTTTCTTGTTTTGTTGAATCTGTGATAAAAAAAACAATATTTACCAGACGGCCCAAGCTGTACGTTTTTCAGACTAAACAATTTACAACAAAAGCGGCAAGAAACTTAAAAAAAAATTGGACTGGTGAGTCTACCTTTTCGTATATTTTTAAATCAATTCAGAAGATTTTTGTAAACAATTCCCTTCCCTAGAAAAAATACCAGAAATAGTGAAATAAAACCAATTGAAATGCATTTTAAAGGCTGCCTGACTGCTATAAACAAGACTGTTTGGGTCAGTGTGCAGAGAACGATATATTCCATCTGATGTCAATCATATACAGTGCTGAAAGTTTACACTCCCCAGAGATTGTTTTGGTCACATGACAACCACTCATTGTTAGTGGTTGTGTAAAGCCATATATTGTCTAGTAATTGATTTTGTTAGATTTGTTTTGAATGAAAAAAAATCTCTGGGCAGATCTCAAATGTGCAATTCATGCAAGGCAGCCCATGAATTTACAAGCTTTTTGACAAGAAGAATGAGCAGCTTCACCACCAGAGAATAAATGAACTTCACATCTACCACAAACGACTCCACTGTGGGATTTAAACTTGTTCAGGTCACTGGAGTGGTTTCAATTGTCAACATTATCTGAAAATATTAAATACATTCGACAGTAAATGGCTTCACACAACCACTAACAATAAGTGAAAAAAACTGTCTTGTTGTTCATAATCCGTGCAGCCTCTCCCACTCTCCCTGACTCAGGTTGCCAGATATGCAGACGAATCCAGCTGGGACCATAACAGCTGAATAGACAAGAGTTTAGTCAACAACAAATCTATAACCAACACCAAAGATATGTGAAAATATTACTTGTTTTATTTTGTATTGATTGTTAAATCAAGATAAACTCCACTTGTAGTTCGTTACATTTATTCCCGTCAACCATACGCAGGTTCAACATACAACCCGCCTCTCACGGTCTACATACAAGAAAAAACATGTGCGCTATACAAAGAGCGCTAGAGCCCCCTAGCTGTAAGGCATGGAAGGTGAACATTAAACCAAGAGCTAACATTGATGATTTGAGAATCCTAACAAGACCTTTTTTTGTTCTGCGGCACACGGTACTTTAATTATGCATTGGTTTTATCCAGCACTTTTTTGGACACTCAAAGACACTTTACTGTCATTATTCTTTCACTCCAAACGGTGGTGATAAACTACTGTAGCCACAGCTGCCCTGGGGCACACTGACAGAAGCGAGGCAACCAGTCTGTGCCATCGGCCCCTCCCACCACCACCAACCATTCACACACACACCAGACTCATTCTAGGCAATGGGGGTAAAGTGTCTTGCCTTGGCACTTTAGCGCCGCCCTACTGTGGCACCTGGTGTTCCCAGAGGTTACGTGTCTTGCCCAAGGACACAACGACAGCAGACAGTGGGAGTCGATAGTGAAAGTCAGGCTCAAACCCACGTCCCTCTGGCTCAAAGGCCAATGCTCTACACACTGAGCTACTGTCATCCTACTTTACCAGTGAGATTAGCTCAACACGGTAAGTTCTGGCGCAAGGATCACAGTCTTTCTGATTGGTGAAACGGTGAAAGGCGGGACATCGAAATGAAAACAAGATTTTTAAATTCAAATATCTCTGAACTACTGTGATCAGTTGAAGTATTGAAAAAGTATGTATTTTGACAGATTATGGCCCTTTATTGATGACTGGACATGAAAAACGTACAGATCTCCACATACAGCTCAACCCGCCTTAAAACACAAAATGTTCTAAACAGTGGAAACCAGGTGACATTCCACTAAAGCTCGTCACTTGTAGTTTCCAGGACAGTGGTATGAATGTGGGTTAAACCAGAAGCTTTCTGATTGTACCTTCTGTTGCTGTGGGGCTAAGCAGTTTGTCCAGGCCACAGAAGAGTTCGATGATGCTGCTCAGCTGTCTGTTGATCTGAACGTCCTGCACCCAGGCCGGACTGAGACAGACCACACAGCCTTCTCCTGCTCGGGCGCCAGAGCAGGACCTACACATGACAACAACATCAGCACGAAGTCAACATAAAACAGGAAGTTAGCATAACAAATTTAAATGTTGTGAACTAAACAGACCAGGACATAAAGTCTTCATATTATTAATTTAGAAAACATTCCATCTTTTACAAACATTAACTGAGGCCTACATGCATGTGAAGTTATAGAGCAGACTGTAAATATTATTGAGCCAAGAGCTAAAACAAATCTCTCATCAGATTATCTTGTTTGTGGTTTGAAGTTGGGTACCTCAGCTTTAATACCAATTGAATTACCATTAATTAAAAAGCAACAAATTCAATGTTTGATTTGTGTTGCAATTATTACAAATAAATTAGTTCACATTAGCAAATGATCAAGACAGTTAGACCATGTGACACATTAAACGCATTTTGAGAATTAAAAACAAGTCGTATTTTGCTTGGTACATGGTTGCTAGGTGACCCATTTTAAATACGTTCTTTCCATTTTGAAGAGTATTTGGTTACCTAGGCCATCTACATCTAAAGCAGTGTTTTTCAACCAGTGTGCCTTGGGAAATAAATATTACCTACTTGGTCAAAATAATGTGAAAAAAAATCATAATTTTAAGATTATAAATACTTCTTTGCACTTCCATGATTTTTTATATTTTCTATAATAAAGGCTGCAGAGTGACATCAGTTTGTATCCGTTTCAGCTGAAGTGAAAAAGGTTGTGGAACAGTGACCTGGAGTGTTATTGCACATTCATGAAAGAAAATACCTGCACAACCAATGCTCACACATTCCCAGACAAACAGGGTCCTTCATCAGATGAGAGCTGCACCAAAACACAAGACAGAAGAACAGTTTGCACGGTTAAAAAGACATTATAATATCAGTACCAGGCTTTTATGTTCACAGCACATCACACGCACCACTTGGAACATTGCAGAAGTTTTCTAAAGTTTGCAATCGCTTCTTTAGTTTTTGTCCAGGGTTGAGTTTGCAGAGCGGAAGTGTCATCCATTGTCAACAATTATTCTAAGATTTGCACTGTCAAGTCTCGTAAGATTTTAGAAAATAGCCCCAAAAGGCGGAACGCTCATTAAAGTGGGTTTTGATTTTCCTCGCGCCTGAAATCTGCGGAAATGAGGAAATGCGTGACGGCTGCGGAATGACGTCACGCTTCCCTTCAAAATAAAGTTACGCATTTTGTTTACATTTGTTTCAGTTAATTTTTACAGTCTATGGTTTCAACTTGATTTGTTTGTGTTTTAAATCCAGTGAAAAATGCAGTAGTGGCGTATATGTTAAGCTAATTCTCTATGGTGACAGCTGCGGAATGACGTCACGCTTCCCTTCAAAATAAAGTTACTCATTTTGTTTAATTTTTACAGTCTATGGTTTCAACTTGATTTGCTCGTGTTTTTAATCCAGTGAAAAATGCAGTAGTGGCGTATATGTTAAGTTAATTCTCCAAAGCAAACCTCACTTCCATCATGGACACCACCTCCCACTCACAGCACCCGACTGTCGAGGAGCTGAGGCACGGCTGTCAGACTGTACAACGAGTCACTGCAGTAGGACGGAAAACTTGCACTTTTAATTGTCTGTGTATATATTAAATAATAACATATGTTTCGTTTTTTTCTCACAATGTTAACTTAATATTGTTCTTAATTCTAGATTGTCACGTTAATGTTATTTTTATTTTTTATTGTGAAATACTGTGAGCTACTATGACAACGCAGTGGGCCAGTATCGTTATTATAATAGATCCATGGCCAGTATGGATCAACAAATCCATCTAATTTGAACTGTATGTAAAATACCTTGCACAGAAATATCTTTTGACGTTTGTTGCGGTTTAAAATAAACATTTACATTTATTCAAGTTAACCACCGCAGGCAAGAAAACAAATAGCTTGTAATGAATTGCTTTATTAAAATGACAAAAATAGGCTTGAGTACAATCACAGAAGATAAAACACTACAGTGGATTTATATAAAGAAAGTGCAGACAGATTTCTTCATTTATGAAAGAAAAAAAGACAGAAACAACTGCGTATCAACTAGAACCATACATTCTTTTTGTCTGTAATATACTAAAATATCAGATATAAATTCTGCATGTCTTTGCGACCAAAAAGTGCATTAGCCCGTATTTTGTGAAATAGTAGTGAGGTATTCTTCATAAAGATCATGATAAAAAAATCATTACATTTGAGATTATTTGTATTATAGGTACATATTGGTATGTAGATGAATCAAAAACTGTAGAGATCATAATTTCAAACATTTTACAAGTGATTTTACAGTTTTTGTTGGAGCCAAAGGAGTTAAAGGATCTAAGCATCGACGCCCTTCAGGGAGTAATCATCGCCAAACTCGTCGTCCTCCTCCATATGCACGGTCTCCATCCCGATCTTCCCCATGGCAAAGTTGATAAAGACCTGAAAAGGACCAGCGCAGCAGTCAGTTCCACACATTTTTAATTAATGATTGTATTCAGTTTAATATGAATCATCTTCCGCAGCGGCCACCCCTCTGGGTCCTCTGCTTGTGGTATGTCCTGCTCCCCCGGCGCCAGAGGGGCTGAAGAATATCAGCAGTGGCTGCATATAAAGCTCATGGATTCTCTCCTAACTCATATTCAATTTATTCTCCCTGAGGCACATCTCCTGTCAGCTCCTGTCTGTCTCTTTTTCAACTCAGCTTCTTCCCCTACACCCACACAGCTTTTGTATGTCCCCTCTTCCCCTTGTCCTGTCTCATCTCCTGTCCTAATTTCTACTTTTTTCCATTAGCTAAACTCAAACAAACTGCAAAGTCCTGAACAATTAGCTATGTGTACATGGACACAAAACATTGGATTTAAAGCCTAACCGGAATAAAAATGCCATTTGGAATATTAGACCCGATCACATAGATGTGGGTGCATGTAAACACTTCTTCCAATGTTTGGGGCGAGATTAAATGTCTATTCTTGTGTTCCATTAAACTGGCCAGTAGGGGGCGCATGAGCAGAGGTGGGACAGTGTTGCTCCCATTGAAAACCATGTAAAGTCTGTTCTGGAGTCAAAGGCTCTCCTCCTGTGCAGTGTACGTTTGTTGGAACAGTCTTAATCGGGGACACTCAACTCTAAGTCAGCACTAACAAATATTTCTCAAAAGAATCTTGATTTTGGGCATTTAAAAAAAAGAAACAGAAGAAATGTCTGCGTTTCATTGGGGTGGCCTGCAGGGGGCGCTTATCTGGGAAAGCCTTGATCCACCTCCGCCTCATTCCAGTGATTTGTTCAAAGTGTCCTCCTTTATATGAGACCACAGTTGGAACATGAACAAACTCTGATCTTTCTCTCTATTTGTGCGGTTGCTACAAACGTACACCGCACAAAAAGATGGCGTTTTGACAGAGCTTCTTCTTTTGCAGAAACTCACTGTGGCCTATAACAACTCCTTGAGGCTGCTGCTGAAGGTTCCTCGGCACAGCAGCGCAAGTGAGATGTTTGCTTACTGTGGTGTTCGATCTTGTTCTGCATCTCTTCGAAATGTTCAGTTCAGATTTATGTGTCGTCTGAGGAACTCTATTAATGTGATTGTTAAGACTCTCGTCAGCCCCGAGTTCTGCTCACTGCTGTTCACCTCCAAATTATGGACTTACTGGAGGTTATGCCTTTATACTGTTCAGCAGCTGTAATGTTCTCTTTTTGTTTGGTTTTCTTGTATATATTTTTTCTTTGGTTTTTTAACTATGGACCGTGTTGTATTGTGTCCTTAATAAAGATTAATAATAATAATAATTTACACTATATCTCTGTGTATAAACCACTTCTTCTTCTACTATATCTCCGTATAAACCACTTCTTCTTCTACTATATCTCCGTGTATAAACCACTTCTTCTTCTACTGTATCTCCGTGTATAAACCACTTCTTCTTCCACTATATCTCGTGTATAAACCACTTCTTCTTCTACTATATCTCTGTGTATAAACCACTTCTTCTTCTACTATATCTCGTGTATAAACCACTTCTTCTTCTTCTACTATATCTCCGTGTATAAACCACTTCTTCTTCTTCTACTATATCTCTGTGTATAAACCACTTCTTCTTCTACTATATCTCTGTGTATAAACCACTTCTTCTTCTTCTACTATATCTCCGTGTATAAACCACTTCTTCTTCTTCTACTATATCTCTGTGTATAAACCACTTCTTCTTCTACTATATCTCTGTGTATAAACCACTTCTTCTTCTACTATATCTCTGTGTATAAACCACTTCTTCTTCTTCTACTATATCTCCGTGTATAAACCACTTCTTCTTCTTCTACTATATCTCCGTGTATAAACCACTTCTTCTTCTTCTACTATATCTCGTGTATAAACCACTTCTTCTTCTACTATATCTCCGTGTATAAACCACTTCTTCTTCTTCTACTATATCTCGTGTATAAACCACTTCTTCTTCTTCTACTATATCTCCGTGTATAAACCACTTCTTCTTCTTCTACTATATCTCGTGTATAAACCACTTCTTCTTCTACTATATCTCTGTGTATAAACCACTTCTTCTTCTACTATATCTCTGTGTATAAACCACTTCTTCTTCTACTATATCTCCGTGTATAAACCACTTCTTCTTCTACTGTATCTCGTGTATAAACCACTTCTTCTTCTACTGTATCTCGTGTATAAACCACTTCTTCTTCTACTATATCTCTGTGTATAAACCACTTCTTCTTCTTCTACTATATCTCGTGTATAAACCACTTCTTCTTCTACTATATCTCCGTGTATAAACCACTTCTTCTTCTACTATATCTCCGTGTATAAACCACTTCTTCTTCTTCTACTATATCTCGTGTATAAACCACTTCTTCTTCTACTATATCTCTGTGTATAAACCACTTCTTCTTCTACTATATCTCCGTATAAACCACTTCTTCTTCTTCTACTATATCTCCGTGTTTATAAACCACTTCTTCTTCTACTATATCTCCGTGTATAAACCACTTCTTCTTCTACTATATCTCCGTGTATAAACCACTTCTTCTTCTACTATATCTCCGTGTATAAACCACTTCTTCTTCTTCTACTATATTTCCGTGTATAAACCACTTCTTCTTCTACTATATCTCTGTGTATAAACCACTTCTTCTTCTACTATATCTCCGTGTATAAACCACTTCTTCTTCTTCTACTATATCTCCGTGTATAAACCACTTCTTCTTCTACTATATCTCCGTGTATAAACCACTTCTTCTTCTACTATATCTCGTGTATAAACCACTTCTTCTTCTACTATATCTCCGTGTATAAACCACTTCTTCTTCTTCTACTATATCTCGTGTATAAACCACTTCTTCTTCTTCTACTATATCTCCGTGTATAAACCACTTCTTCTTCTTCTACTATATCTCGTGTATAAACCACTTCTTCTTCTACTATATCTCTGTGTATAAACCACTTCTTCTTCTACTATATCTCTGTGTATAAACCACTTCTTCTTCTACTATATCTCCGTGTATAAACCACTTCTTCTTCTACTGTATCTCGTGTATAAACCACTTCTTCTTCTACTGTATCTCGTGTATAAACCACTTCTTCTTCTACTATATCTCTGTGTATAAACCACTTCTTCTTCTTCTACTATATCTCGTGTATAAACCACTTCTTCTTCTACTATATCTCCGTGTATAAACCACTTCTTCTTCTACTATATCTCCGTGTATAAACCACTTCTTCTTCTTCTACTATATCTCGTGTATAAACCACTTCTTCTTCTACTATATCTCTGTGTATAAACCACTTCTTCTTCTACTATATCTCCGTATAAACCACTTCTTCTTCTTCTACTATATCTCCGTGTATAAACCACTTCTTCTTCTACTATATCTCCGTGTATAAACCACTTCTTCTTCTACTATATCTCCGTGTATAAACCACTTCTTATTCTACTATATCTCTGTGTATAAACCACTTCTTCTTCTACTATATCTCTGTGTATAAACCACTTCTTCTTCTACTATATCTCGTGTATAAACCACTTCTTCTTCTACTATATCTCCGTGTATAAACCACTTCTTCTTCTACTATATCTCGTGTATAAACCACTTCTTCTTCTACTATATCTCCGTGTCTAAACCACTTCTTCTTCTACTATATCTCTGTGTATAAACCACTTCTTCTTCTACTATATCTCGTGTATAAACCACTTCTTCTTCTACTATATCTCCGTGTATAAACCACTTCTTCTTCTACTATATCTCCGTGTATAAACCACTTCTTCTTCTACTATATCTCGTGTATAAACCACTTCTTCTTCTACTATATCTCCGTGTATAAACCACTTCTTCTTCTACTATATCTCCGTGTATAAACCACTTCTTCTTCTACTGTATCTCTGTGTATAAACCACTTCTTCTTCTACTATATCTCGTGTATAAACCACTTCTTCTTCTACTATATCTCCGTGTATAAACCACTTCTTCTTCTACTATATCTCCGTGTATAAACCACTTCTTCTTCTACTGTATCTCCGTATAAACCACTTCTTCTTCTACTATATCTCCGTGTATAAACCACTTCTTCTTCTTCTACTATATTTCCGTGTATAAACCACTTCTTCTTCTACTATATCTCTGTGTATAAACCACTTCTTCTTCTACTATATCTCCGTGTATAAACCACTTCTTCTTCTACTATATCTCCGTGTATAAACCACTTCTTCTTCTACTATATCTCGTGTATAAACCACTTCTTCTTCTACTATATCTCCGTGTATAAACCACTTCTTCTTCTACTGTATCTCCGTGTATAAACCCTGCAGACTGCACCTCCAGGATACGTCACGTCCTGTCCTACGTTTGTTATTCGCACCACTGCCCTGACGTCGTATGAAACCCAAGAATTAGATGCTGATATTGACTGTACGTCCGCATCAGGTTGAAGAAGCAGGTTGAAGCCATGGCGGGAGGCGTCTTCTGGGGCCATATGACTCTCAAAGTTTTATGAATGACGGCCGTGTTATGTGGACATTTTGCTTCCACTCTTGATCACTGAATTCCAAGAGAACAATCCCCTCCCACCAGTCTTTGCTCCTCACTTTCATCCACTGGCTCCTTGTTTATGGGGGTGGAGGGGGTACTGCATTTAATAGTTGTGGAATTAAGCTTCTGTCTTGCTACTGCCTTTCCCCATTCAACGTGTACAGAAATAGGGTTTTATTCTGTTGAGTTTTTGTTGCTCTAAAACCGAGACGATCAAATCCAAAAGAATGGTCTGAAGGGCACAGTATTGCTTCATTTCAAAAGGAAAAAACAAATAATATATATCAAGTTACAGCATCGGATAATCAGAAATGTCTGTAATAATAATAATCTCAGGTGTGACACATGAAAACCCATTTTTTTCATGTAAACAATAACATTCTAATCCGAATTATGATTCTGGTTCATCTGTCCTCACCTCGTCCAGTGTCGTCTGGCTCACAGAGAAGTGTTGGATCTCCAGGTGTTCTTTGCTGGACTCAAGCTGACCAAAGATGTCCGCCACTCCACCTGGTGCCACCGGGACATGGTACTCCACCATAGCCGAGTGTTGGTCCTGCTCAGCACAAAATGGCGGAAAAGATTAAACATGATCACAAGAGAAAGAGATAAGTAAAATATTTGTGATTTTGTGCACTCCAGAGCTGGAAAAATGTCAGTTTATCGTCCCGAAAAGAGCATTTATAAATAATTGCTGTGGTATTGAGTATTTTGTATAATTTGTATGTATTCATTTATTTCAAACATGTATATACAGACAAATTGTTACCATCAAATGAATTCTGAGAACATGTTTGAAAAGGATTGGGTGAAAATGTTTTATTAGATTACAGATTGGGCAGATTTGACTTTTTAAGAGCTCAGATCTGCTCATTCTTCCCAGTTTCCACGGCACAGTAGAGTGCCCTCTGCTTGTTATTGAGGTTAACGCTCTAATTCACTTGGGGCTAATTATTCTTCATTTGTGAAAGCACCATCTACATGCAGCGGTCCACAGGTCCTCCCAGTACATTTACCGTTTTAAACACAGATCTGAGATGTCATGACGACTGTTGCATTTGTAAGTGCAGTTATTTTGTTCTGCTGGTTTGGTAAATGTTCTTTAATCATTGATACAGTATATACTGATATGGCAGTTTCATTTCAGAAATTGAACACTAGTTGTAAAGAAATGTAGGCTTACTGAGAAAAAAAATACATTGGAATGCACATGGATATTATGTTTTATTTTGAAAAAACCTGTATATTAATTAGTGATCTATGTGTTTACTTAATAATAATAATAATACAAAAATGTATTGGTAGGTTTAAGGAATAAGTGTCTTGCTCAAACCCACAACCTTCAGGCTCAAAGGCCAATGCTCTACCAACTGAGCCACTGTCGCCCTAAGTCATGAAGTCACTTAGCTTGTTTATTTGGAACATTGAAGGCAAAACAACTTGTTAGATGGACCTGAGAAAAACGCAGAACCACCACATTCAAGTTGTGGAAAGAACCCTTCAAGATACAGAAATAATGTGAGTGATTTGAATCCAAAAAACAGTTTTTGCATTGAACCTTCCGGACCATTTCTCCACAATAATCTCCTTCCCCAAGCCTTCAGTCGACCCATGCTTAGACAAAATGGCTCACCTTGAGATAAGTGCTTGGGAATCGGCTCTGCATGAATCTGGTGATTGCTTCTGCGTCACAAGAGGCTTTGGCCAAGTACATCCTCACTGTGAACCCGCTGCCAAACCTGAGCAAAAGAAACATTTTCATGAACAAAGTGGCGTCCAGGGGAGAGCAGTGTTACACAATTCTTCCTTGGAAAATAATAGACTTGTATTGTATCACACAGAAGGAGCAGAGGGAGCAGAGGGAGCAGAGAGAGCAGAGGGAGCAGAGGGAGCAGAGAGAGCAGAGGGAGCAGAGGGAGCAGAGAGAGCAGAGAGAGCAGAGAGAGCAGAGGGAGCAGAGGGAGCAGAGAGAGCAGAGAGAGCAGAGAGAGCAGAGGGAGCAGAGGGAGCAGAGAGAGCAGAGAGAGCAGAGGGAGCAGAGAGAGCAGAGAGAGCAGAGGGAGCAGAGGGAGCAGAGGGAGCAGAGGGAGCAGAGGGAGCAGAGGGAGCAGAGGGAGCAGAGAGAGCAGAGAGAGCAGAGGGAGCAGAGAGAGCAGAGAGAGCAGAGGGAGCAGAGGGAGCAGAGGGAGCAGAGGGAGCAGAGGGAGCAGAGAGAGCAGAGGGAGCAGAGCAGAGAGAGCAGAGGGAGCAGAGGGAGCAGAGAGAGCAGAGAGAGCAGAGAGAGCAGAGGGAACAGAGGGAGCAGAGAGAGCAGAGGGAGCAGAGGGAGCAGAGAGAGCAGAGAGAGCAGAGAGAGCAGAGGGAGCAGAGGGAGCAGAGAGAGCAGAGGGAGCAGAGGGAGCAGAGAGAGCAGAGAGAGCAGAGAGAGCAGAGGGAACAGAGGGAGCAGAGAGAGCAGAGAGAGCAGAGGGAACAGAGGGAGCAGAGGGAGCAGAGGGAACAGAGAGAGCAGAGAGAGCAGAGAGAGCAGAGGGAGCAGAGGGAGCAGAGGGAGCAGAGGGAACAGAGGGAGCAGAGGGAGCAGAGGGAACAGAGGGAGCAGAGGGAACAGAGAGAGCAGAGAGAGCAGAGAGAGCAGAGGGAGCAGAGGGAGCAGAGGGAGCAGAGGGAGCAGAGGGAGCAGAGGGAGCAGAGGGAACAGAGGGAGCAGAGGGAGCAGAGGGAGCAGAGGGAACAGAGAGAGCAGAGGGAGCAGAGGGAACAGAGAGAGCAGAGGGAACAGAGAGAGCAGAGGGAACAGAGAGAGCAGAGGGAGCAGAGGGAGCAGAGAGAGCAGAGGGAACAGAGAGAGCAGAGGGAGCAGAGGGAGCAGAGGGAACAGAGAGAGCAGAGGGAACAGAGAGAGCAGAGGGAGCAGAGGGAACAGAGAGAGCAGAGGGAACAGAGAGAGCAGAGGGAACAGAGGGAGCAGAGAGAGCAGAGAGAGCAGAGGGAACAGAGAGAGCAGAGGGAGCAGAGGGAGCAGAGAGAGCAGAGGGAACAGAGGGAGCAGAGGGAACAGAGAGAGCAGAGAGAGCAGAGAGAGCAGAGGGAACAGAGAGAGCAGAGGGAGCAGAGGGACCAGAGAGAGCAGAGGGACCAGAGAGAGAGCAGAGGGAACAGAGAGAGCAGAGGGAGCAGAGGGAGCAGAGAGAGCAGAGGGAACAGAGAGAGCAGAAGGAGCAGAGGGAGCAGAGGGAACAGAGAGAGCAGAGGGAACAGAGAGAGCAGAGGGAGCAGAGGGAGCAGAGGGAACAGAGAGAGCAGAGGGAGCAGAGGGAACAGAGAGAGCAGAGGGAGCAGAGGGAACAGAGAGAGCAGAGGGAGCAGAGGGAACAGAGAGAGCAGAGGGAACAGAGAGAGCAGAGGGAGCAGAGGGAGCAGAGAGAGCAGAGGGAACAGAGAGAGCAGAAGGAGCAGAGGGAGCAGAGGGAACAGAGAGAGCAGAGGGAACAGAGAGAGCAGAGGGAGCAGAGGGAGCAGAGGGAACAGAGAGAGCAGAGGGAGCAGAGGGAACAGAGAGAGCAGAGGGAGCAGAGGGAACAGAGAGAGCAGAGGGAACAGAGAGAGCAGAGGGAACAGAGAGAGCAGAGGGAACAGAGGGAACAGAGGGAGCAGGAGCGGTAATGGCTGTAGCCGAGGATGAGGAGGGGTCACTAACCTGTTCTTAATGTGCTGCAGGGAACCCAGGCATCGGAACTGACCCTGCACCATGACGGCCAGACGTCCACACAACGCCTCACACTCCTCCATGCTGAGACACACACACAGGGGGCACAAGTCACGTCAGCTCCACGCCACACAGTAATTATCCATGCCCCGCAAAAAAAAAAAAGCAATTAACTTCCATTTAAAAAGAGAAACGACCCGGACATGAAAATATAAAAATCAGACGTTATTGACAATATAAGTGTCTGAGCAATAGTTTAATCAACCTTGACTGATCCGATATGCCAAGTTTAACACTGTAAGTAGAATAGAAAATGGGCTTTGCAAATATTATTGACACAACGGGATCAGGGACTTTGTCAACACCAGTCTGTAATCATTAAGTGTGATCCCTCGGTGTGAGATATGTTTTTAGAATGAGAACTCGCTGTATTATGAGCCTCTGGTGTCATAGATCCAATCCATTCCACTTTATCTACAAAGCACATTTCATAAACAGTTTCCAAAGTGCTGCACAATAAAATACTAATTAAAACAAACCCACAAAAATAACCATAAAATAAAATAAAAGGACCATACAACCCATGCGGTGTTGAAAGCCAGAGCATAAAAGTGGGTCTTAAGAGGAGCAGATTGAACATGGGGAGTTCCATAGCTTTGGTCCAGACTCAGAGAAGGCCCTGACCGCGGGGTTTAAGTCTCGTCCTATAACCAAAAGCTGGAGCCGGCCCTCGGACCTCGGCACAGGGCGGGTGGTAAATATGAGATCCGAGATGTACTGACATTGATTCCGTTAAGCTATAGTAAGAGAGCGATCTTTCTCTTTGATTATCAAGAGGCAGTGAAACGACCTGGTTCAAATCCTTGACGTAAAAAGCGTCACTGATTGACAGGAGAGAGAAACTGAACCAGCGAATCAGCGCCGTCTATGCAGCTCATGCCTCTCTCCGAGTCCAGCATCTGCTCCATAGACAATAAATAAGCCTCTGTCCTTTTTGTGTGTGTTAGATCGACATTGTTCACGGGGATCTGCCTCGAATCCGCGAGTCGGAAATCCTTGGAACTTAGCGTAATGCTACGTGACCGTGCGGGAGGGGGGGGTGGGCTCACAGGCAGAGGAGCACTGATCCAAGCACATGAGCTGAAATCACCTCTATGCACAAAATGGCTATAATTTGACAAGTTTTGAGTGTTGTGTGGTGTATCACCCAAATTATTATCACACATGTGCATAGGACGGACTGTGAAAAATGAAGAAAAGCGAAATATGGCACCTTTAAAGTAGAAATATGTAAGATTTTCATGTCTTGTCATAATTAAAGGGCCCTAATCTGTCGTCATTAAAGGGCCCTAATCTGTCGTCATTAAAGGGCCCTAATCTGTCGTCATTAAAGGGCCTTAATCTTTTGTCATTAAAGGACCCTAATCTGTCGTCATTAAAGGGCTTTAATCTTTCGTCATTAAAGGGCCCTAATCTGTCGTCATTAAAGGGCCCTAATCTGTCGTCATTAAAGAGCCCTAATCTGTCATCATTAAAGGGCCCTAATCTGTCATCATTAAAGGGCCCTAATCTGTCATAATAATAAACTGTTCTTTTCCAATACTTCTTTAACTGATAACAGTAGTTCAGAGATATTTGAGTCTCTAAATTACTTTTCCAGCCTCTAAATCTTGTTATTGTTTTCATTTTGATGTCCCGCCCTCCACCGTTTCACCAATCAGAAAGTCTGTGATCCGGGCGCCAGAACTCACCGCGTGGAGCTAATCTCACTGGTAAAGTACCATGTGGCGCAGAACTAAAAAAGGTCTCGTTATGATTCTCAAATCATTAACGACAAAACAAGGAATAAAACCAGGATTTCTATCTTTGTGAAAAAGGTGTTGGTTATAAGCTGCGTTTCCATTGAGCATCAAATTTCGAAATTTGAATTTGCGCATCATAAAATGTCTAATGGAAACGCGCAAATTTCGAATAAACCACAGTTTTTCGATAAAAAGTTAATGCGCTTAAAATAGGTGGTTTTTTGGACGTATCGAAATTAAGTTTTTCGCAAAACGGCAATGGAAACACTTATTTCGATATAGCGGAGGAAGCCGAGCTGCTTTATTCAGTGAGTTTTGGCTGCGCTTCGTGTGGAGACTTGGGAGATACGTGGGAGAGGCATGGGGGAGAGACGGGGAAGAGACGGGGGAGAGGCATGGGGGAGAGACGGGGGAGAGACGGGGGAGAGACGGGGAAGAGACGGGGGAGAGAGACGGGGGAGAGACGGGGAGGAGACGGGGAGGAGACGGGGAGGAGACGGGGGAGAGATGGGGGAGAGACGGGGGAGAGACGGGGAGGAGACGGGGGAGAGACGGGGGAGAGACGGGGGAGAGACGGGGGAGAGACGGGGAGGAGACGGGGAGGAGACGGGGAGGAGACGGGGAGGAGACGGGGGAGAGATGGGGGAGAGACGGGGGAGAGACGGGGAGGAGACGGGGGAGAGACGGGGGAGGAGATGGGGGAGAGACGGGGGAGAGACGGGGAGGAGACGGGGGAGAGACGGGGGAGAGACGGGGAGGAGACGGGGAAGAAACGGGGGAGACAGGCAAGACCCGTGTCTATGGTTCTGTGCGCGCGTCTATGGTCCGCGCTCGGTACATGACCACGGCGTTCGCGGAGCTGTCAAAGCAGCCACAGTTTCTCCCGGGGTCAGAGGTCAGAGAGGATGAGAGCCGCAGCAGAAGTCAAGACATTAATATATCTCACGTAAATAAAAGTGTTGTTTACTTCTGTTGCCATGTTGACGTACTAGAAACTAGTGAATAAACGCGCGGAAATAGTGTACACTTATTCGAATATGTCTTAATGGAAACGGCCGCTTTTGCGAATTACAGGTTTTTCGAATTTTGAAATGTATCGAAAAAGTTTTTGCGAATTATTCAATGGAAACGCAGCTAATGATTTGTTGTTGACAAAACTCTTGTCTATTCAGCTGTTATGGTCCCAGCTGGATTCGTCTGCATATCTGGCAACCTGAGTCAGGGAGAGTGGGAGAGGCTGCAGTACCACTTTTGGCCACATGTTTACACACTGCTCCTTTAATTTCAGTAAATCTGCAGTGGTTTTAAGTTTCTAACCTGTGAGATGTGAGGACCACTGCACATTTGCCCTTGACTTCGGCCGTGATGATCTTCCATAAGTGGCGTTTGGTTCGAGGATCCATCCCAGAGCTGGGTTCGTCCTGAGTAACATGAAGTAACACAAAGACATGAGTAACAAATACAGCAGAGAAGAGAGAGAGATGCACGGAAAGATAAACGGAACATGTATCGGAAGTATTTTTATGGTTTTATTTGAGAATCTGTTAAAACACACGCAAGACATTCAATTATAAACACTTACTCAAGAAGAAGAAGAAAGTTTACAGTTTTTCTCAGTCGCTTTGGTGCATTTCTCACATCATTCTTTACATTTGCACAACTGTTGGTGCATTTCTCAGAACAATTAGTGCAAACTGCAGAACCTCGTGGATAACCTGCAAAAGTGCGTCACTTTCTCAAAATGAAAAGTTTTTTCCTCAAAAGCAAGTTCAAACGTTAATGAAACTGTCTATGTCGTCAAAATAATATGTCCTAACAACATTGAGTATGAACATCACAGTCAAATGACTTAGTCATGTTTTCATTGTGAAAGTTTAATCTCTGTGTTTTCAGTGTAAAAAAGTCAGATCTCGGTGACACTTGAGCACGACTATGAGCACATTATACACGACCTATACGGCCATTTACAGTAAAAACTACAGTAAAGTTACACAAAGACTGTATTTAGAGAGTTAACTGACATATACAGTATGTATGTATGTATGTATGTGTGTGTGTGTGTGTGTATCTATGTATGTATGTATGTATGTATGTATGTGTGTATCTATGTATGTATGTACTGTATATCCGTATAGTATGTATGTACTGTATGTATGTGTGTATCTATGTAAGTATGTACTGTATGTATATGTATGTATGTATGTATGTGTACTGCATATGCTCTTTGTATTTTTGTTGCACAATGCTGTAGAATTGCAGGCACATACATGTACAGTATATACATTGAACAAACATACAGAAATATCATTATGGTAGAACTGTGACAAAAATAAACAATAAAGCACACCTCAGAGTGAAGCTGAAATTCACCTGAGATAAATTGTTCAATTTAGGAAATATTTACAGGAAAAAAAAGATAAAGGAATGTATGAAATTAGCTTGACAGTTATGATTTTGAGAACTAGTTCAACAATTTTGTATGTGATGACCAAAGCGATGAAATGAGGACAGTTAGTTTTATAGTGAATGACTATTCAGAAGTGATAAGTATGTTTCATTCTGACTGACAGGACAGAAGCAAATGATAATGTTAAAAAAAACGCCGAGAATTGTTTGAAAGTTATTGATACATGAACGAAAGCATTTGAAATGTGTTCAGAGGAATGAGAAACTGCCGTGATGATGTGCACCAATGACCCAATGTTGTGGAAGTTGAACTAATAGTTTTGAGAAGTTTCAGTCTGATGTGAAAAATGCACCAAAGCAACTGAGAAAAACTGTAAAACATAGTGTATCCTTCCTCTTGATTGTATATAATATCATGTATATCGTGTGTATTTTACATAAGGCAATTTAAATATACAAATTAAGTGACTATATATTATGATATATAGTCACTTTATTAATAATCAATATATAATTTATCAGTTTAACAGTATAGTCGTTTCTCTACCCTTCTGCATGAAACATGGACAGTAAATGTTTGGTAATAACTTGTTGCTTTACTGTAAATAATAGTTTTATTTGTCGCAGGTGAAAGAACGCATTCAAACTGGAATGATGGATCATTCTGACGCTCGTTTCTGCAGATAGACAGACAGACAGATAGATAGACAGACAGATAGACAGATAGACAGATAGACAGATAGATAGACAGATAGATAGATAGACAGATAGACAGATAGATAGACAGATAGATAGATAGACAGATAGATAGATAGACAGATAGACAGATAGATAGACAGATAGACAGATAGATAGATAGATAGATAGACAGATAGACAGATAGATAGATAGATAGATAGATAGACAGACAGATAGATAGATAGACAGATAGACAGATAGATAGATAGATAGACAGATAGACAGATAGATAGATAGACAGATAGATAGACAGATAGATAGATAGATAGACAGACAGATAGATAGACAGATAGATAGATAGACAGATAGACAGATAGATAGATAGACAGACAGATAGATAGACAGATAGATAGATAGATAGATAGACAGACAGATAGATAGATAGACAGATAGACAGATAGATAGACAGATAGACAGATAGATAGATAGACAGATAGACAGATAGACAGATAGATAGACAGATAGACAGATAGATAGATAGATAGACAGATAGACAGATAGACAGATAGACAGATAGATAGATAGATAGACAGATAGATAGATAGATAGATAGACAGATAGACAGATAGACAGATAGACAGATAGATAGACAGATAGACAGATAGATAGACAGATAGATAGATAGATAGACAGATAGACAGATAGACAGATAGATAGACAGATAGACAGATAGATAGATAGATAGACAGATAGATAGACAGATAGACAGATAGACAGATAGATAGACAGATAGATAGACAGATAGATAGATAGATAGACAGATAGACAGATAGACAGATAGATAGATAGATAGATAGATAGATAGACAGATAGACAGATAGACAGATAGACAGATAGATAGACAGATAGACAGATAGATAGACAGATAGACAGATAGATAGATAGACAGATAGACAGATAGACAGATAGATAGATAGACAGATAGACAGATAGACAGATAGATAGACAGATAGACAGATAGATAGACAGATAGACAGATAGATAGACAGATAGATAGATAGATAGACAGATAGACAGATAGACAGATAGACAGATAGATAGACAGATAGACAGATAGATAGATAGATAGACAGATAGATAGATAGACAGATAGACAGATAGACAGATAAATAGATAGACAGATAGATAGATACTTTATTGATCCTGAAGTTTTCTCCTCTAACTATGGCACATTAAGTGCCTTGCACGGAGCTGGCACATATTCTTTGTGTAATATATTCTCTGCTTCTGCCAGAATCAAAATACTTTTGATTGAAACTATGAATCTATAATAATCCAAGACAAACAAGTGTGATTTATTAAAGGAATGGAGGATTGTATAAAATAAGCTTAAGCTGTGGCAGAAGCAGATAACAACTTTCAGAGAGGGATTGCCAAAATGCCAGAATTTAAACATTCATGAATAAAAGGGAGAGAGAGAGTTTGGAAAGATAGGAGATTAAACAGACTATTATCAATCACTTCACTATGAATCTGAAACCTCTGAATATACCCTGTGCATTTACATCTACAATTATGATATTGAGCTAAAATAAACAGAATAATGGTCATTTTCCACTTTAGTGCTTATATGTTTAGACTTGGCACAGTGTAATCTCATGTTCAGTGAATGTGAAGATTCAAGGGTGGTGTAACAAAATCTATTGTTAAGAGTAGGTCTTTAGTCGCCAATCAAACTGTCAGTGTCAACATCTGATCCCAAATCATTTTAATAATTACATAAACCCAAGCCTGGTCTTATCCATGTAACGTCTGGGTCTGGTCCCTGTGTTTGTGATTACAATCGGTTGAATTTTGACCGACCAATCAGAGAGCGCGGGAGGCGGGTGTTGTAGTTAGATGTGGGTGACGTCAAGAGTTTTTGCGTCGAACGGGCAGGTTGTGGTTTGGCGAAGAATGCGAAAGTAAAGTAATCTGGTCTGGTTCTATCAAGAAACTGAAGCCGGAGCAAGAGGAATGTTTAGCAAATGCAATTACTGCAAAGAACGTGGCGCTACTCCCCACGGGCTCCTTTAGCGGCAAAGGAGATGGCTAAAGCTAGGCTAAATGCTAAAGCTAACGACTCACTCCAGTGCATTACATACGTCACAGTAAACTCAGATCCAATGGTTTCAATCTGCATAAGGAGTTAGCCCCTCCCACCTGTTAACGGAGTCAATGGAGACAATCCAGACCTTAGTATGAAATGTAGTTTGTACTATGGTGTGGTACGACCAGGCAGCAAAAACCCCAAAACAATGATCTCAATAGACCGAGTGTAGCTGTTATTTTGTACCAGAAGTAGGATCTGTGGGTGTCCGACAAGAGCCAGAGCAGTGGACAGCTTTCTCCTGGTCCCACAGCTGTAACTGTCGCAGACGGTGTCTCGATAGCGATCCAGCTCCAGCCTCCGCAGTAAATAGTTCACCACCTGCAAACAAAAACATGCAGCAGTTAGACAGATAGTGCTCCAGACAGACAGACGGACAGACCGACAGACAGACAGATTTTTACTGTGTGTGGCAGCGGCACAATGGAGAACAAGTGCATTGGTGAACTGCAAGTTTCTCAAAAATGTATATATATTGGACGGACCCCTCAAATAGATAGATACAGACAGAGACAGACAGACAGACAGATAGATAGATAGACAGATAGAGACAGACAGACAGACAGACAGACAGACAGACAGACAGACAGACAGATAGATAGATAGATAGATAGATAGAGACAGCTAGCTAGATAGATAGAGACAGACAGACGGGTAGATACTGTAGATTGAGACAGACAGACACAGACAGATAGATAGATAGAGACAGACAGATAGATAGACTGATAGAGACAGACAGGCAGATAGAGATACAGACAGACAGTGCCAGACAGATAGATAGGTAGATAGATAGAGACAGACAGACAGACAGACACTTTATTGATCCCAGTAGGAGAAATGTGTGTCCAGCAGCATAAGACTTATCCAGGTCTACTGTATATAAAAGGCAAAAGCTTATTACGAACATCTTGTTGAGAATATAGCCTTTACCAAACCAATTTCCTCATTGATAAAAGAATGATTTGGAAAGTGAAGCGTGTCCAGACCAAAAAATGGACCTTGCTTTTTCAATAAAGAGGACAATCAATCTATCGCATTAAAGTTTGGTTGAGTTGAGTTGATGGAAAATAGTGTTGAGACGGTCCAGATATGTTTCGTTGCACATTCTTCAAGGAGAGCCTTTGATGCATCGTCTCATTATGCCTGACAAAACCATGTCAATGTGAAAAGACCCCATTAGGGCCCGTCTCATTATGTGCCGCGAGGAAAGAGGGGCTCCACATGTATGACGTCATCACTACACAGAGGCTGGCCATTAGAACCATTGTTGTCTGTGTTTCTGTGACATAGGACCATTACTGCTGATGTGGAAGCGCCCATAAAGATCCATCTACCCGTCTGTGACTGAATGTGCGGAATGAACACAATTACTCAGATAAATCAGACACTGAATGAGGAGTTTGTATTATATATTGTGAAGTTTTATCCAATTGGAGCTGATCACACTGATGCCAGAAGCAGAAACGCTCACTCCGTAATCACCAAAGAAACAAGATTGATTAGTCGTCAGGATGAAGAATGGGATGGATGTCAAATGAGAGATCCCCTCATCAACAACAAATCGGGAAACACACTGGCTTCAGCTTGATTCTGAAGTGTAGAGTGCACTGCTCCGACAAGAGAGAGGATTTTATATTTTGAGACAGTTTACAGCGATGCACATCATTCAACACTTCACACACACACCCGCCTCCGTTCACTATTCACCCGAGCATTAGCACTAGTCCTGCTGTGGAAGTGCACTTTGGAGTTTCTATCTGATCTGGTGTCATTTGGTAGATGGGGCTGTCACAGGGTTTTTGAAACATGGCACACAGCCTTACCCCGGGTGTATCTCTCTTTGAAATGCCATGGAGGCGAGCGTAAAAGTACAAGTGCTCCTCTCCCGACATCAGACCGTCCAAGGCGTCCACTTGAGGACAATATCCGATGTTAACTCCTTGGTTACGGCACTCCATAATGTCCACCAGGCGTCTGAGGAGAGAACAAGGATTTTCTAAGATTACTTTGAACATATGTAACACATGGACAGGATCCCTTTGGGAAAACCAGCGGTTGTTCCCGAGATACCCATGCACACTTATTGATTTGAATGAGGTCCTTAAGGATATTATCCACTATAACATGTCTCATAGAATTATTTTTAACTCTCGCCACATGAATAGAAGTGTGTTATGTGTAAATTACCCATCTCTGTCTCTGATCTGTGCTGTGCCTTCAGTCGGGCTCACGTCTCCAGTCAACATCTTAAAGGTGGTTGTTTTTCCTGCTCCATTCACTCCCAGCAGACCAAAGCACTGTGAGCAGAATGATCCATATATAAAACATTGTATAAATATATATGAGGCGTGTCAACATTGAAACCACTAGAATAATGCGTGTACTTTTAACATTGATAAGTGCAAAGCTCTACATGTGGTCTGAACAAACAGGAGTGAGTGGGTTTGTTTTCTCACTTCTCCGGCAGGAACACCCAGGGACAGCTTCTTCACAGCGGGGACCTTCTTGTTGAGGTGTTGATAGACCTTTGTTAGTTGGTTCACTTGCAGCACATCTGCGCTCGCTGCTCCACTGGACACCCGCAGGTGCTCAGCCGCCACATCCTCATCCTCGTCCACCCACGGCAGAGGAACTGTCCGTCCTTTCACAATCAGGCTCCTGAGAAGACAGTATGTGACTTAAGCTAAAAGAAAGAGTTTTGATGTAGTTCTAATGGGAATGAAAACAGAAACATGTGTCCTAACTGTGAGTCGGCTTGAGCCAAGAAAGGTTTTCAAGATTTCAGTCATTTATTTGCCATTTGCAGTAAAACCACTTTGGAAAAACTGTGCAAGACGACCCCAGTGTGCACCAAAAGCACACACCAGAGCACATCTCATCTCTATCTTGGGGTAGAAATGTTTTCCCAATGAACAGTTCATGCTTTAGTTTTTGAATAAATAAGATATTCCTTCATTGGTCCAACTGTGGGAGAAATGTCAAGGTCATCGCTGCAGATTACAGCAGAGAAAGAAGAAAATTAGACTCAGACACACATTAAACAGTCTCTAATTTAAGATAAAAGACAGTAGAATTAAAATACTGAGATAATACAATGGCAAAATGGAATAAAAAAAAAACTCTGGAGCTATAATGTCACTTGGTTCAGAAGTATTTACAGATGTGTATATTGTATTTTAGCAGCGGAGAATATGAGCAGAATAAACAATAGTAACAACAGCAGCCCCTGCCCCTGCTGAAAGACTAAGGCTGTTTCATCACTGACAGAGCAGCCATCTTCCTGTGGACTCACCCCCCGCAGAGGATCAGCGAGGGACTGGTGCTATGAGCATTGGCCCTGACCCAGAAATGGACAATAAAGGGCTTGAAAATTAAATGAAACAACAGCAGCAGGTAAAGAGACTAGTGAAAGGCATAAATATCAGATGCATATGTAATAATGCAGTAATAATCTGTAAATATGTAATCTATAATGTTTCTCTGTGTACTCCCTGTCTATCTCTGACTGTATGTATTGCTAGTATTGTCTGTCTTTCACTTAGCATTTAACCCTCCCTCCATCTCATATCCCATGTCCCCCTCCTGTCTGTAAATATGTACTCTATGCTCTGTTTCTCCGTGTTTCATTTCATTTCATTTCATTTTCAACCCCTTTGTCCATTTCTGGGTCGGTGGGGTGGCAATGAGAGCTGCCCCCAACGCTCATAGCACCAGTCCCTCGCTGATCCTCTGCAGGGGGTGAGTCCACAGGAAGATGGCTGCTCCATCAGCGGTGAAACAGCCTTGGTCTTTCAGCGGAGTTGTTTCTCTGTGTACTCCCTGTATATCTCTGACTGTATGTATTGTTAGTATTGTCTGCTTTATTTTCAGCATTTACCCCTCTCCATGTTAGTATTGTCTGCTTTATTTTCAGATATGCACTTTCTCCTTCTGCTTCTTGTATCTCCAACTACATATTGCCAGTGATTTCTGTCTAATCCTATAATCTCTCTTTCATCAGTTCTCTTCATCGGTCCTAGGCTGCTTCTTACTGACCTGACTTTACGTACGATGGTCTTGTTCCACAGCAGACGCAGTGCAAAGAAGAATAGTCCTTGTATGAAGGAGGCGATCATCATCCAACCCAAGGCCTCGGTGGAGAAAGGGTTCTTATACGCATCAATACCGTAACCACTGAGCAGCTGCACCTCGATGTTCATTCGGGCTAGCTCCAAAAGCCCATTACCGAAGTTGAACTGAGGGAAGATTAGGAAGGCGTTGCTCAGCCGGTCAAAGAGGAGCTTCATGCCCTGTGGAAGCAAAAACAAACGGATTCAAACAACAAAGAACAAGCATTAATCTCTACTCTTATCTATTTCATTTGGAAGTAAAGCCACATTATTCTTCAAACCTCGGCGTTCTGCTGCGTTATCTGTCTCATGAAGAAGAGGATGGAGGTCGGTATGATCGTGTTGACGCTGAGGAAAAGGTTGATGCACACGTACGAGATGAAGGCCATCTCTGCGGTTTTGAACACACTGGACAAGAGGTACATCCAGGGGAAAGTAGAAAACCTGTGGGAGAAACAGAGAAGTGATTATTAATAATGAAGCAGTAATTTATAATTTTTAGATTAACTTTAAACTGTTTTATTGTTTTAATGTACACACTGTAAACCCTAACTTAAATCGTACTTCAGATATCAAAGTCATTTTAAATAGATTTTTCCCAGTAAGTGAATATTACTCATTTATTGTTAGTTTATTTAAAGCTTGGCGATATCACTCAGGGTTTTCTTTGAATTGAACTCTTTCTGTTCAAGTAAGCCTCACTTTTGACTGAGTGGGTAGCACCTTCACCTCCCATCTACAAAGTACGAATCCCGGTCGGAACATAAGATGAAATTTAAACAATCACTTGAGTTTAGTAAAGGATGTATTCAAGGAATTCAAGTGAAGTTAATATGCATGCAATATTTATTTTTTTCAAGTAAAGTTTACTTGTCAGGGTTTACAGTGTGTTTTAATGGGTTTTAGGTAATTTTATTGTGAAGCACTTTGGTCGCCTTGAGTGTTGTAAAGGGCTCTATAAATAGAATTGATTGACTTCATATGACAGATAAACAATCCCTGTCTTAATACAAATTGTCAAATTCTATGTGTATAAGCAACACAGAGAAGGAGATGAATATAACCACCGAAGACAAACCGAAAAACCCAGAAAAATTGCATTATGTGGAGGGTAAACATTCAGTCCTGGCTCCAAAAGAAATGAAGATAAATTACTTCTGCTTCTATTCCCTCTGTGGCAAAACATTGGATTTTCCTTTTTGGTTTTTTTGTCTTTTTCTTTCACATAATCGACTTGTTCGCTTGATTGGGGTGCCTGGGTCAGCCCGACAGAGAGGATAAAGCACAAAGGGGGAGTGAGTTAAAAGGAGGAGTGGGAAGAAAGCAGACATGAGCCACAAACACAAACAGAGCTTGACAAAGACAAAGCGTCGCGGTGGCGTGCCCAAAAAAGGTGCTTGGTCGGCAGACGATGGGTGCCAAGCGATGACAGGAGACAGAAGTGGGGAGGCTGAGACCGGACCAGGTGCGAGAGCAGGGACAGATGGAGGACTGTGATTATTCATTGCTTGGGAAAGAGACATCTGTCTGATAGATGAGACGCAGAATGCTGAGTTTGCCGCAAAAGTGTATGCTCCGGACGGACGACGAGGCAACAGCATCCCAGACCTGCAGCTGCTGTTGGGATATTTAGATTCAGATGTGGACGTTGTGAAGGTGCAGGTGAAAAAATACAGGGTTTTATTTTCAAAATGTGTAGTTCGATGCTCAATTCTTCAATTATTTGTTTTATTCTTCGTGTTTAAATGTTTAACAAATGTGAAACTTTATACTATATATCAGGGGTGTTAAACTTATTTTGGTTGAGGCCTGATCAAAAAAAGAAAGGGCTGGTCAGGGGCCGAAAAAATAAGTAGATTTCATTTATAAAAAACATTTGGAATATGAATCTAAATAAATGACTTGTTTCACATTAGTTAGGTTGGATATTCTTTTCTGATTAGAATTAGTTCAGTTCCCGTGGACTGAAACAAAACTGGACCAAATATTTAAGGTATACAAGAAGATTTTCAACTTCCGGGTCGATCATCAAGACGATTGGTCCTCCCAACTGTCAATCATTCTGGTGATTTGTGCTCGTCCAATAAGACCAGAGAGTTTTGTTCAAAAAGTGGAGAGGGCGGGTCTTTCCTCAGAGAATTGGGAAATCCTTTATTTCTCATGGAATAAATGCTATGGTTGTTTTCTCAGTAATGAATAATTACCATTACCATTTATGCTGCTATTTAATATAATAATTTAAAATCATCTCAAGGGCCACTGGAGATGGTCTCGAGGGCCGGATCTGGCCCCTGGGCCTTGACTTTGACACCTGTGCTCTATATTATAATTATGTTAAAGATAGAGATTTTATTCTTGTTCTTTGATGCTACAGTAAGAGATTATGTTTTATTTTAATTACTTTACTGTAGCTATTGCTCACTTGTCTTCTGCTGTGTACTCCTCATTCCTACTGCGATGTAACTTGTGATGCAACACTGAAATTACCTCTTTTAATCTCTAAATTTTAATCTTTTCAGTTGTGAGTATTACTTCACAGGCTGTTAAACATGTAGACGGTTGAGCTGTACCTTTGTTTACCGTATAAGAGACCATATAGAGGTACTTTATATCTAAATTGAGCTGAAATCTATTTATGAACTATTTTAAATCATAATGAACCTATTTTAACACTCTATAATATTCCAGGCTTCTCTGCCAGAAAGCTGCCTGTGAAACCAGATCCTGTGAAACCAGATCCTGTGAAACCAGATCCTGGTCCAACGGAAGATAATGAATCGACATTTTTGTAATAATTATTTTAAAATCAATTTACCCAAAAAGAACCAGAAGCAAAGTCACCGCGCCCAAATTCTGTCGTTCATTAAAAGCTGGGACTTGGAACGCTGCGATCACTCCAACGGTGAGAACCACAGGGATCATGTACACAACCTGCAAACACAAAACGCACAATACACTTGATGAAATACAGAAAACACACTTTACAATAACGGAAGAAATATTTTTGATTTGTTAAAAACAGATAATAAGAATAAAAATACCTTCAAAGAAAATCATAAGGAAGTTACACGAACATTTAACTGGAGCAAATGTATAACCGACGTCACGCAGTCACAAAGACGCCTCAATAAACATTAAAGGTGGAAAAATATGATTTCAAAAACATGATCATGATCTTAATGTGAACATGAATTAATAATGATTTTACTTTATCTTTTGTCAAGTAAAATGGCAATAGTCTACCAATTGTTTACAGATTGAGAGCAGAATTTATCAGTTTAAAGAAAGACATCACATGAAAATCTATGTAAAAAAGCATGCCTTTTTTGTATAGATGAGCAACTACGCAGGTAATGTTTATTTATATAACGCACTTTACTGATTAAGGTCTTCCAAAGCGCTTCACAATGCTCAGAAATCAGATATTTTTCACAGACAGAGTTGACAGAAGCGAGATCAGAACACACTGGTCCATCAAAGCCTCCGACCAAACACCATCACTCATTACATTCAGACCTATTGTTCATGTTTTTAGTGGTAGGGGAAACCGGAGCACCCAGAGGAAACCTACGCTTACTGAGAAACGAGATAGATAACCACTCAGCCACTGTGCCGCTTGCTCAAAATATTCCCCATTGTAAGCTATATATCGACTCAAAGTGATTATATGAACTGTTAAAGATGAGGTACCTGATATTTGTGTCCATAAACAATACATTCTGTTCTCTCAAAGTGAAATGTTAAATGTGTAGCTTAAAACATTTGCACCAAACCAGATTTCATTATGGTTCCCTTGCCGTGGTTAGAATCAGGCTGAGGCGTTACCATGTCATAGAAGAAGTTGACAGCCCAGTAGAACGGCTCGCTGACTCCGGCGATGTGCTGCAGCCTCTTGGAGCCGCTGTGGAGTTCGCTGACCTCGTAGATGGCGAAGCTGGCCGTGGTGATGGAGTAGCCGGCCAGGATGCACAGAGCCACCATGATCTGCAACATGCCTTGGACACTGAGAGCAAAGCAAGAGGGACGTGTTAGATCTGAGGTTACAGAGATGAAGCCAAACCAGAGACATGCAATCAGGCCGCGCTGCAATTTCACTTGTTATGTCCAATTTGTACTGGTTTACTGTATGTTCTGAGCTGACAGGGCAGGTTGGGCCTACGCCATCAATAAAAAGATCAAAATACGCCCAGCAAGACATGTATAGGGTGTGTTTCGGACAAAAAAATCAGCTCCAGGAACCAGGAATAATCTAAAATAGAGATAAGTCAGGCCTCAGTCATGATGAAAAGGAAAATGATGGTGTCGTTCTGTCCATGCATGACTGAAGATTTCACAAAACACAAAAACATGAAAAAACCCTGCATGAAAGAGAAATCAGAAACGCATGAATCGATCTAGCCTGGTCGTACCACTCCATAGTAGAGATTACATTTCGTCTGGATTTGCTCCATTGACTCCGTGAACAAGTGGGAGGGGCTAACTCCTTTTGCAGATTGAAACCATTGGATCTGAGTTTACCGTCACGTATGTAGTGCGCCCCAGTCTGTCGTTAGCCTTTAGCATTTAGCCTAGCTTTAGCCATCTCCTTTGCCGCTAACGGAGCCCGTGGGGAGTAGCGCCACAATCTTTGCAGTGATTACATTTGCTAAACATTCCTCTTGCTCCGGCTTCAGTTTCTTGATAGAACCAGAACAGAATACTTAATTAACTACAACGCCCGCCTCCCGCGCTCTCTGATTGGTCGGATGGAATTCAACCGATTGTAATCTCAAACACAGGGACCAGACCCAGACGTTACAGGCAGGACATGATGATTGAGCGGAGAGTACGGATGGATAAGACCAGACTAGAATCGATCTATGTTTTGTTGGTGACTTTTTGGCCCTGAATTGGTCTGTTTTTAATAATTGTCTTTGACCGTTGTAGAGGACACATGAGCAATACACTTGATTTATTGATAGAAGCCCCTAGTTTTGCTGAGGTGTATTCTACCCCTCCCTAGTTCTAACTCATCAACAATCGTAGTTTAGTTCAAGCTTGGCAATCTTTTTTTTAATAATTGATTTTTTTTTTTAAAGAGTTTTAATGAAATGTTTTTTAATATTCTTTAGCTGTGCGGCACACGATAATCTGCCTCAACTCAAAAAGGCCAAAACCAGATAATATTTATATTAATTTGGTTCTAAATATTGTTGTTACATGAATTAATCTGAAAAGAGAGCAGCCCATCACGAAATGTCTTCTTGTCTCGAGACCTATCGCTACACAGTAATAATTAGTATGTAATTAATTGAGTAAAGTGTTTTTGCCTTTGCTGTCATTATGTCTCTTGTGTTTAAAGCACTTTACAGATCTCATGCTGATTCACAAGATGAGGCAATCTCCAGTAATAAAAACATCAGATTTCAAACTATAGAAACCAACTACGAAACGCCCCCCGCTGCGGCCTGGCTCATTTTAACTACTCGTGTGGCTTGGTATAAACAGAATTTCATTAATATATATGAAGCAGGGTCGTATGAGCTGCCTTTGCCACAGCTTTTACTTGATAATTGCCGTTGGTTGTTAACTACGAGACTAAATCACGCTGGAGTTTCTGTATCGTGGCTAAGCTTGTAGTGAGCTGCTCGGCTTACAGCCCAGAACATTGGGGAACCCAGACAAAGAGACAGACTTTGATTCATCGTTCCATCCTGGCTTCCAAATAACAAACTCTCTGTGTACAACATTTACAATACAAATGGGTTTCTGTCATTGAGAAGCCCTACAAAATAAAATGCATTACCACTTTTTCTACTGAGAAAATGGGGAAAAGCCTGGACATGTTGTGCGCCGAAGAAAGTGCAAAGAACAGCAGACAACAGGTACTGAGTAAGCTTTTAGCCCTGATGCCTCGGTCTCCGGGGAAAACACCATGTGAGATTTACTGTAATAAGCAAACTATAGATTTAGCAGGAGCCAAATCAATAGATTAACTACAAAGCACAAGGCTCCTAGGAATAACAGGAGGTGGAGGCACAAGGAGGCTGGACTGCAGTTTGTAACAAGATAATTGCAAAAACTAAAATGAAAAACAATCTATTATTACCATTATTGACGTATGAAGGTCAAATTCTGGTGAATAAACGTGCCTGAACTCACAAATCACCCTAAACATTATGAATAGATCATTTATACACAACAATGTAAGGGACATCAACAGCAGTTTCAGCCATCGAGGCATTTTAAGAACAGCTTACACTCAATCCTGCTCCTGCCTCAGTAAACACGCATTATATTATAGTGCAAGCCCAGAGAAGTCCGTTAGCAAATCAGATATGAGGAAAAAACCAGACAAACTATGAGTTAATAATGTAAAGATCACATTTGTTAGTTATTGTTATGGGGGCGACAGTGGCTCAGTTGGTAGAGCATTGGCCTTTGAGCCTGAAGGTCGTGGGTTCGAGCCCACCGTAAGACCTACTTCACGACTCCCACTGATGACTGCTGTCGTTGTGTCCTTGGGCAAGACACTTAACCCCACTTTGCCTGAAGCCCCCACTGAAAGATCTCAGCTCCTGTGGACTCAGCACCTGCAGGAGGATCAGTGAGGGGCTGGTGCTCTGTGACTGGGTGGCATCTCTGACTGCCACCCCCCCAACCCAGAAATGGATTAAGGGGAAGAAAATGGATGGATGGACATTTGTTAGTAAAAGTTGAAAGTGAAATGAAATGCTTACATTGAATCCTCATCATCGGGTCGTCCAAAATAGGGATGACTGGAAACGGAAATGGCTAAAACAGACAAAAGTGTTTCGTTAGCAAAAGAAAACAATGGGAATTCTTCACCACAGAAACCAAATGAGCAATGACGCTCTCTTAGCCTGGGACATAGTCAATTGAAAAATAAAGGACAAGATGATTTCATTTTCCTCTGCACACAAAGGAAATTGAGTTTTCTGCTCACATCTCCAGTCCCTGCATGTGTCTCAGTGAGAGATCACCCAAGGCTTGTATCTTTGAACGTGGCTGATGCACACATTTTTAGTGCAAATTATGCTTTTCAGGTGAACCAGGACATTGCCTTCTGTTGATGATTTTACCCCCATCATGTGCATGAAGCGGTTAAAGGAGCTATACCCGTTTCTGTAATGTTTAGCTCCGCCCCCAACTCACACAGAGGCTTCTCATTCCATTGTTTTATTTGTGATCTGATACGCATGCTATTGCTCACATTAGCATTAGCGCAACTTCTTGTAAGCTTAAAACTGAAAGATTACAGCTAGTTTCACGTCCAAATGTAGTCCGAGCGTGGATAGTCCGAGCGTAGATAGTCCGAGCGTAGATAGTCCGAGCGTAGATAGTCCGAGCGTAGATAGTCCGAGCGTAGATAGTCCGAGCGTAGATAGTCCGAGCGTGGATAGTCTGAGCGTAGATAGTCCGAGCGTAGATAGTCTGAGCGTAGATAGTCCGAGCGTAGATAGTCCGAGCGTAGATAGTCCGAGCGTAGATAGTCCGAGCGTAGATAGTCCGAGCGTAGATAGTCCGAGCGTAGATAGTCTGAGCGTAGATAGTCCGAGCGTAGATAGTCTGAGCGTAGATAGTCTGAGCGTAGATAGTCCGAGCGTAGATAGTCCGAGCGTAGATAGTCCGAGCGTAGACAGTCCGAGCGTAGATAGTCCGAGCGTAGATAGTCCGAGCGTAGATAGTCCGAGCGTAGATAGTCCGAGCGTAGATAGTCCGAGCGTAGATAGTCCGAGCGCAGATAGTCCCAGCATAGGTAGTCCGAGCGTAGATAGTCCGAGCGCAGATAGTCCGAGCGTAGATAGTCCGAGCGTAGATAGTCCGAGCGCAGATAGTCCGAGCGTAGACAGTCCGAGCGTAGATAGTCCGAGCGCAGATAGTCCCAGCATAGATAGTCCGAGCATAGATAGTCCGAGCGCAGATAGTCCGAGCGTAGATAGTCCGAGCGTAGATAGTCCGAGCGTAGACAGTCCGAGCGTAGATAGTCAGAGCGCAGATAGTCCGAGGGTAGATAGTCCGAGCGCAGATAGTCCGAGCGCAGATAGTCCGAGCGCAGATAGTCCGAGGGTAGATAGTCCGAGCGCAGATAGTCCGAGCGCAGATAGTCAGAGCGCAGATAGTCCGAGGGTAGATAGTCCGAGCGCAGATAGTCCGAGCGCAGATAGTCCGAGCGTAGATAGTCCGAGCGTAGATAGTCCGAGGCGGTCCCGCAGGTCTCTCCCATAGACCAGTCTCTCCAGAGGATACGATGTAAGCTAGCTCTGTTCAGGGCTTGGTTTCTTCTTTGATCATGTTTAGCTTTAGTTCCTCTTCTCTTCCTCACTGTTGTGTGGTTTGGGCTGTTTTGCTGTGTCTGCAGTTACAGCCAGAGGAGTTATAGCCACTTATGCTAACATGCTACTGTGTTTAGCAGCGCTGTAGAGGCTAGAGGACGCAGCCTCGCTCTGTGATTGGAGGAGAGCGGGCGTCGCGCTAAGTCTCTACTCAGCACTTTTTACTGAGTTCATACACAGCTGAATCAATGAGCTCAAGTTAGGGGGTTGGAAATGTATAAGCGTCTGCTTCACCCAACCCCCTTTTCAAAACTTGTGACTCTTTTTATTTGATAACTGATATTTGTACTTGTTTTTGTGCAGGTTTTGAAATAAATAAATAAATAAATAAATAAAAATAAATAAGTTTTACAGTAAATTACAGATTATAATTTAACTTGTATGTAGTAATGAGCATTTTTATTAACCCATTACTAAAGAAATCAGGTATAGCTTCTTTAAGGTTAATTTACAATGAAAATCTACAACATTCTATTCACACATATGAGACCCAGTAACATCGGTCTTACCTTTGAAGACTCTTATGTTACAGATTATGAAACACTTATGCATTAATGTGCCCACTTAACTTCAACCTTATATCATCTTCACATAACTTGATGAATATTAATGTGATATTAACCCATTATACAAACTGCACGTCCTTTGAGTGAGACAGATTTTCAATAAAAAGTTTGGCAGAATGTTATGTTTGCAGCAGCAGGTATTTCAATATGAACTAAAACAGAAAAGATCCCGTAGGACACTTCCAATTTTGGCTCACATACAAATAATCTAAAATATTAATGGGAATTGTATAACATTTAAGATAAACCACAGCCACAATAACATTATCTCGCTGGACTTCCACCCCCGGTCTCCAAATCCCAGTTATGAGTTCAGGGGCAACACTTGAGTTATTTTTTACACCACGCCCTAAGGCACTTGTTATCATCAACTACTGTCACACACACAAGCCATTTATTTGTGTGAATGTGTGGGTCTATGTGTGCGTGTGTACCAAATGCCTGCAGGCAGATGGTCAGGGTGATACGCTGAGCTGAAACAGTTCTGAAAACGTGGCCCAGCTCCATTCTCTTTAGCAGAGCTCCCCAGAGGAAAGCATTCATCAGTATTCTTCACGCATAGAAGAGTGGAGCTCGGAGGACACACAGCACCCCCTGGCTTTGAAGCAGTGAAGTGCACCATGAGGAAAAGATTCAGTCAACAACCGCTGCTTCAAGTGCATTACTTTCCATCAGGTCAGTATTATTCAAGCAGTCAGAAAAGAAAGGAAGGAAGGAGCCCCAAAATTATGTGTGGAATTAACTTGTAAGTGCCTATTTGAAATACAGGAGTCAAAAATAGACAAAAAACCACAGATTTTGTAAAAGTAACAGCCCGCTTCATTTTGTTCTCAAATCTTAAAGGGCCAGTATCACGCATTTTGACTTTTCTCTGCTTTAAACATGACTACAGTGTTATTTGGCCTTCATAAACATGTCCAAAGTAGTTTTTTCAAAGATTCTGTCAATCTTTAGTTAGAGAGCGATCTGTCTCCTTCCCTCTCCAGAGGCAGTGAAACGCTCAGGTCCACTTCTGTGACAAATACAGGGTTAACAATACACAATAAGTATGCTGTTGTCAAAAAAATAAAATAAAAAAATGCTCCTCACAGGCAGAGGAGCAGACTCTTCTCTGAATCAGCCAGTTTGAGTCGAGGTGACGTCGCCTCTATACAAAAGACGGCCATAATCTCACAACTTTTGAGTGTTGTGTGGTTATCGCTCAAATTATTATCACACATGTGCATAGGACTGACTGTGAAACATGAAGAAAAGCGTAATATAGGAGCTTTAAGTGTGCAAAATGGCATTGAAAGATTTTTTGTGTGCATTTCAGCTTCATTATCACTTCTTAAGATTAGATTAGATTGAAGAGGGAGGCTCTGCACACTCGAGAAGCAGAGAAGTGTGTGGGAGAGCAGCAGCAGGTGGGTGTACGGGAGTCCTCCTTAATTCATTAAACTTGTTCAGTTCAGAGCAGTGCAAAGAAATGCAGTTTAGCATCTAACCAGAGGTACTCGGAAAACAATTACAATGTATATGTACTGTATTTTTATGGTTTGAGGCGATATGAGGCTGCGAATAAATAATAAATACTTACAATACTGGCTTGGATCTTTGTCTTCAGGGAGATTGGAGCGGAGCAGTAAGTTGTTGATGCTGTTTAGATACGCCGGCATGGTGTGGTGGCCTTCAGGATTGAACCAGACCTAGTCCAATGTAGAAAATGAAAACGGGATTTGCACATTTTAGTAAAAGCACCACTAAAAGAACCAGGACAAATGAGAAAAGTTACCTTGGAAAGAGTACGATTTTCGGGAACAGTATTCACATCCATTCGAAGGTTTGATGGAAGCGGCAATCCGAAATCAAAGCCGCCATACCTTCAAAGTAACAAAAATAAGATTTAAACAGACAGTAGCAGGTAGGTTTACAAACATATCACATGCTAATAATTAAAATGTGCCTAAAATGATGTATAACATGCTAGTAGCCATGATCAACACATTAACCTCTTATGATCAATGGAGCACCTTCATTGACTGCCAGCCGTTTTTTAAGATTTCACTGACTTTCAAGACCCACAGAATATTATGTGTTAGGACTGTGTGAAATATGAAACCAGATTCTGAAAGTCTGGACTGTCTACTTTCATCAGCAGAAATAAGTTTGTTTCTAACTAGTTTTGTTCTTCAGTAATCTCCAGTTGAATAGAGGCAAGTTTGACAGAAATCTCCAGTCTCCGACAAATACGTCAATGGCAGTCAATGAGTTAGTCGTAAGGTTGAAAATGATGTCAGGGGCCACAAAGAACTATTTTGCAAACTGTCTTTGGACCTCGGGCCACATGTTAGACATATCAGCCTAATGCCAACCTGTCAGGAGCAGGCTTCAAGATAAGGAAATCTAAAAAAAGGGCAATACAGAGTTTTAAAGACCTGTTTCTGATGAAGTCATTGGATGTGGCCACGATGTAGTTCTCCACATCGAGATCAGTCAGGTTGTAAACAATCTGGGACGATGAGAGCTGCTTATGAGGCGGGACATAGCCGCTGGATCCACAAACCTGCAGAGGAGAGATGACAGTAACTTACAACGCCATAAAAACAGGGCAGACCAAACATGCACAAGTTCACACAAGACTCACCTCCTTCTCCTGGACACATTTACAGGTGCTGAACGGTTTAGTGCCGTTTTCTCCACTCCACGCTCCAGTGCTTCTTGGGCAAATACTGCAAAAAGAATCAAAAGATCGTGATTATAATAAGTTTGGTGAGAATATTGTACATTTGAAATAACATTAAGTCAAGTTTGGTTCACTTTATCTGGACCAAGTCTTAATAATTGTGCCCATATTTCACTTGTTTGCTGGTTTTACTTCTACAAAATCAACTTTTTCCCTAATGTGAATTCGTTGGGAGATAAACCGTAGAGAGAAGAGGCAAATTTGTGATTGTGAAGCATGAATAACAATCAGAAAGCTGTCATAGATGGATTTGATCACAATAAAAGAACTGGATAGTGTGGGAGTAATTATAAAAGTAGAGAAAGGCGTCTTCTCTGGTGGGATTATTTTACCATCTAAACACATTTCACATGCAAAAAATATTATAAATTGTACATGGTTTAGTTAAATGTATATTAAAAGCTGAATGCACCTAAATAATTTGTGTAACACCTAAATAAAAAGCCTTGTCTATTTTGACCCAGCCTTTCAGTACTTCTGTGTCTCCGCCATCACAACATCCGAGCTCTTTGCAGAAACTCCTGTCTTCATCCTGTTTGTTCATGTTTTCCTTTCGTTTGGGTAAAAAGGAGAATTTCAAAACAGCCCAAGGACTGGCTCATGAGTGCCAACACTGATTTAAGTCTGGTGAGAGTGGAAATCTCCCTTATATACACACGGTGTTTAAGGAATACCAATGATGCTTGTTTCAGTGCACAAACAGAGCTGAGAATATAGAGGTAAAACTGTTGGGGCAAATAGTGATGAATGAAACAAATGGCCTTAATACAAACTAAAACACAGAAATGTCTGAAAAGTGTTCAGTGGATACTCACTGGTCATTGGAGTTTTCAAGACAGGTGTTATCAAGGCCAGGGAAGGACATCAGGGCATCTGCCAGCTTTGACTTTCTGTCGCTGTAACAAATGTCAACAAAAAGATCAATATAAACATACATATATATATAAATATGTCTTTTAAAAGTACAGAGAGTTATTATCAAATATGAGCATACAACACCCATAGACTGTAAATATCAACGTACGTAGTCACGCCTATCTCCGCCGTTCTAACTAATGTGCCACAACTTCCTCGGTCTATGGGCAGTTTCAAAATGGGGGGATCTAAAATGTGAAAAACACATCTGTGCATGCGTCAGCTGCTCGAGCTCCATTCATTTAAACGAGAGACTTCTAAAGTCCACAGCGACTAAACTAGACTGGTCCAGAACACTCAGCATTGACACACATGTGGAACGGAGCTTTGGGCCAAGAGCCACTTTTGGACCATCCTGTAAAGACGTTTTCGAGAGGTCTGCTAATGCTATATGTTAGCATTGGATAATTCTTATTCCGGGTCCACCCCCACAGGCCCGGGGTGGTACTGCAGCATGTCAGCGCACGTCATTTTGGCCACTTTTGAGCCGGGACCCGCCCCCACTGACAACACCTCAGTAACTAGACCAGTCATGGAAAGCTGAGCAAAAGAATCAATCATTATTGACAAATAAATAACACTTTTTACTTTGTCCTGTTTTATAATGTGAAATATTCAGAAAACATGTGTTGAATTGAACTGTCATTACACTCTAATATCTGGGCAATACTTTTGTTTTGCAGCACAATTAGATCAAACTATTATACATTTGAGACAGGAGGTTTCAGACACAAGTGGTGCGATCACAGGTTTGTGCAAAAGTTTCATTATTAGTGTAGCTCTTGAGTAGTTTCTAAGCCAGTCTTCTTAAACTGCTTGTTGTGGCACAGACAAGACACAAATTGGGCTGAAAGTGTTGAAAAAAGAAAAAGCTAAAGAATAGTCCCATTCTCATACAAATTTGTCGCGCTGCTTTCTCTGTTTTGTTAAATATGTCCTTGATCCAGCGCAGCGCATGTTAAGAATGAAGACGTCTCAATCGCCTGACACGTCTAATTTCAGCGTCTTTGATCTCGCTCCTCAGCCGTTCTTCGTCACAATCATCTCCTAACTCTTACTGGCGGTTTCTCCTTGTCCTTAAGGGTTGTCTGCCCTTCAAGAAACTACAGCCTCACGCTGAAAAACCCACCGGGCAAATCAAGATGCATCAGGCCTTCATTAAAGTTTCATCAGAATCAGACAGCTGTGGTGCAGTAATCACCTTCATGATTAAACTGTTGGGAAACTGTTTGATCTTTGGGGCTGGCTGTCTCCCTCAGGACGGAGAGTGTAATTTTAGAGAAGGCCAAACATTGCAGCTCAAAACAAGCGAGCAAGACCCTCATAAATGCAGGAAAGCACATCCGTTTACAGATTCACAAGAGAGAGTTTCAGTTTGACAATCATATCTTCGAATAAAGTTTGTGCGATCTCCAAGAAAAACGCAACGAAAAACTGGTGCAAGGCTAAATGGAAAGATGCTAATAAATCCTTAATTATTCCCACAGTGTATTCTTATGTATATTCCTCTCTTTCTACGATTTCTGCAATATTTATCTGATGAATTACCCAGAACCACACTCAATGAACCCCAGAGTTCCACATAGTCTGAAAATATAAATATCAGCAGTAAAAATTCAAACCACTCCTCGTTTGAATTTCAGTCATTTTGCAATAACGTTTTTTCTCGACTAATTTCCACTTTTCTGCAGACATATTCTTCAGGATAATTGCATGGCTCTCAATTTACTATCACTTCAAATTCATTCATATAAATCTAATTCAGCCACTCAGACATATTCTTCTTTTGTTCTTTTTTTCCCATCCATCCATCCATCCATCCATCCAATATTGCTTATTGTTCATTCTTATTCCTGGTCACTTTTGTCGCTGGTTTCTCCACATGCTCCAGTTTCCTCCGGGTGCTCCGGTTTCCCCCTACCCACTAAGCAAGCCGACGTTGAATCAACGTAATTTGAACGTCGTTGTCCGACGTAGAATATAGGTCACTGGTGGGTGCAGAATGAAAGTTTTCTCGACGTCGTTTCCCGACGTCACCTCAACCTCCAAATGTTACGTTGATGGCACGTCAATTCAAGGTTTGAATGTGGTACGGAAACGGTCGGGTCTGACGTCCTATCAACGTCTCATATGACCAAAATATTCACGTTTATATGACGTTCGTTTTCAGTTGTTCCCACTAAGCAAGCAGATGTCAATACAACGTAATTTCAACGTCATCTGGACGTTCATTCAAGGTTGCAATGTGGTACAGAACCGGTCGGGTCCGACGTCCTCTCGACGTCTTATATGACCAAAATATTTACGTTTATATGACGTCCATTTACAGTCCTATTGACCTACTTAACCTCTGCAGAATCACTCACTGGTCGAGACATACGTTTTGCAATAGGCAAGGCAAGTTTATTTGTATAGCACAGTCAAAACAAAAGGAAACTCAAAGCACTGAACAAAAGATAGAAACAATCAAACAAGGCATTACAATTATAAATATTGACAGTAAATTAAAAAGATACAAATAAAATCTCTCATAAAATCTCTCAGTTGAAGCAGAAACAGAAGTGTTTTAAACCTGGATTTTAACATTGTCAAAGAAGAAGCCTGTCTCACATTTCCAGGAAGACCGTTCCAGATTTTAGCCTTGTGAATCTGAAATGCAGCTTTATCATGTTTAGTTCTGACTCTGGGCAATAAACGATAAACACAGCATTCAAAAATCATTAGAACAACTGTAGTAGAAGGATATCAGTCATTATTGCAAATGGAGCTGCATTAAAAATCATGTTTCTCTACATCAAAGTACAAGTTAAAGCACACAGGGCACAGTGTTATGAACACTACTGTACTGAACAGTTCATGCCAAAGTAAAAAAACATGATTGTAGCGCCTATGTTTGGATCAGTATTAAAACAGGCACAAGCTACACTCTAGGTTCCCCAGATGTAAAAACACAATCTGAAAGGCAGAAGAATGCATTTATTGAACGTTGATGTTCCAACATGTGTCCTCTCTTGGTCTTCTCTCATCACAAGGTCCAAGCACAGCACCTGAAAATGTGGAACATGTTTAGTTTCAACATAATGTGGCAAAGTGATATAACAACACATAACTTTCTATTAATGCCTCAAACCACTCGATCCATCACCATGTGATACAAACCTTGGCACTGCACTAGCTCGAGACACTGGAAGACACTCCGTCTGAGAAACTTGGGATAAGGCTTTGGTCATTGAAGTAATTCCATGTAAAAACAATTGCAAATGTGCATTTGTTTTGCACTTGGACACATGAGCCCTGAAAGCTACTTACCCTGTATTACTCTACACATGTTGCATTTCCGAGCGGGCATTTTCCCCTTGTTGCTCTTTTCCCTCATCTTGAGTGAGTTGCTGAACAATCTGAGAAAAAGATAGATGTTTTCAAAGAGAATACACCAAATAATGGTTTATTCTAAAAACAACATAATAATACAGAAGAACAATCAATGTGTGAGAGTGTGATTCTTACCTTTGAACACCTTCAACACAGTCTGACACCTGTAAGACTGAAACACACATGACACATTAGGAATACACATAGAACATTAGTTATTGCAACAATCATGAAATTATACTCTATGGATTTCACAATAATTGACTGCATTAGCAAAGGTAAATGTATTTTAATTAACATATGGCTGGTTTTAAAGTTTATAAGAAAAAGTAAGAAATTGAATAGAGTTGCAAGCGCTAGTTAGCTTGCTACCAGCAGATGAATGGATATTTAATATTTGCAGCTAACAATAACAATAACAACTGTAGTGGCTCATTTAAACAGCCACAGTGAGAAGAAGTGAAAGTCTCTGACATTGAAGACCTGGGAAGACATTAAATCCATTTATTAAACAAAGCAATACATTAACATTAAACTCTCTTTCTGCAGCAGGTAACATCTGTGTGCTCCTATGGTCCCACATGGTCCCACACCTGAACTCAACTCCAACTGATGACATCACAGGTGTCTAAATGATGGGAGTGTCCCAAATATTAAAGCTGATCTCCCTGTTTTTAAACTTAGTTTACTAAGTACTGTTGTCTTTCTGCAGTTTATAAACCATTGTGAAATATACAGTAACTTTACATTTAAGAATTGAATTATTATTTTAAAACTCAAGAATCTTAACCTTTTTTAACACATAGTTTGTTGGACAGTCTAACCTAAGCATTCTAATGTGTTAAAAATAGTTTGAAATATGAAAAACAATATCATATTTTAAAGTTTAACTTAAAAACAAAAAAAGGTGTCTCCCTTTCAGCTGAGCAGTGCCAGCCGTTATTATTATAGATTCATGCACTGGCAATTCAAAATACAGATAATATACAAAATATACTTAACAAAATCCACGTATACGTGAGAAAACAACTTACTTTCTGTCTCCAACTCTTTTCAATGTGGAAATGATACATCTATATCTAAAAACTGTGCAGACTGTACTTACTAGAGAGGGTGATTCCAAGTAAATAAATCAGGGCAGCGACAGAGGTACAGATTCAACGTCATATCAACGTCTGGGAAGGCATTACGTCCAGATGCACACCTTACGTCGTTTAGACGTGGAAAACAGGTCCTCGACCGAGCGACTCACGTGTCAGGCTGTAAAGCTAAGATAAGTTATACTCGCGCAGCGCATAAGTGTGCGTCGGTTGTTTAGGGTGTTATGTATTATTTTTTCACAGTAGTCAGAAAAAATGCCTGGCCGTGGTGTAGCGGTTGCGTAATGAGACTTCAGTCCCAACGACGCGGGTTCAAATCCCGGTCGGAAAACTTTTGACTTTTCACTTTTTAGCGAACAATTTCTCTGTTTGGTTAAAAACGAATAAACACTCAACATAAGATTATGTAGTGGCTAATAATAAAACTTGTGAACCCATGCATTTGCATAAAATCTCAAGTGCTCACCCCATATTTGCAAACTTGAGATTGTTAGCACAACAAATGCATACATTCACAAGTTTTATTATTAGCCACTACGTAATCCTATGTTGAGTGTTTATTAGTCTTTAACCAAACAGAAAAAAATTGTTTGTTAAAAATCAAAACAAATATGTAAAGATAATAATACACACACGTGGGCTTGAACTCACGTAACCAAGGCTGCACACATTTGCTTAACCACTACACTACCGTCAGGTACACTTGTGTTGCTTCACAGCCTATATATTGTATTGCTAGATCAAGACGTACTGCGTCGGTCAGCCGATGACCTGTTTTCGACGTCTAGGGGAGGTCGGGATTGAACGTCATATCCACGTATATGGGAGGTCATTGTTTTACGTCCAGATGCGCACCTTGCACAGACGTCGTTTGGACGTAAATAAAAGGTCACGACCGACCAACGCGATATTGACGTGATCTGGAGGTTGAGTGGACGTCGGATGTTTAGTGGGTACCACCAAAAGCATGCACAATAGGTAAAATACTCCGACAGCTGTAGTCCAGACCAAGTCGAGCCTCTTTATTAGAAACCGTTTTATATCTTTGCAGACTCGAGTCGCTGAGAGTCACTATTGGAGGATCTTTGTTTACATCCGTGTGCGCCACCTGCTGGTGGTAAGAAGACAGAGCAACACGAACTGAAGCATGGATGGAGTACTGTTAAAAGAAGTGGACGAAATGCACTAAACATGAGCACTTTAACGCAAGAAGATCAGAGGAGACATAAAGACAAGCTAAAGATAAGTATTTGAGACTGAACAACATTTGTTGATGATTTTATATCCCCTCATCCCCTCGGCTTCCCGTACTACGTTACCATTGGCAACAGCATAAAAGGGCAACCTGCTTTTGATGTGTGGACCACTTTACCGCGGCCATTTTTCACTGTTCTTTTCCAAAGGAATAAGAAAAAAAACGTTATCTGGCCTCAACGGGCCGTACAACGGACCACACAACAAAAATGGACCGTTTGTTTTGTAAAAGCTCTCTCCAAACGTCTAAAACTAGCTAACTCTCTAGCTTCCACCTAGTTTCTTATGCGTGACTGGCGCTGAAAAACTGTAAAGAACGACGTCACTCCACGATCCTGCTGTTTGATGCTTTGGGCTGAGAACTGATTGGCCGAGCTCTGTCTTTTTCACTTCTCTGTTTTGAGAGCTAGGACCTAGTTTTATTCATTCAGTTGTCTGGAAAATCCCCAGATGAAAAGTATTGTATGAATAAAGTTGGACTGATGTTGTTGAATACGTTGCGACATATCCCTACATAATCCTATTTCCACTGACCTGAAAAAGGAGTAGCTCGGCCCAATGCTGTAGAGAGCCGGGCTGAGTTCCAGAGAAGGATAGTGCTTCAGGTCGCTCCTGATGGATCCCAGTCCCATGGCAAATGCCACAAACAGCACCGGGAGCAGCAGCTGTGCGATCAGGCCCTTCCAGTCTCTGCGGCTGTGGTGGAACCTCTTTATGAGGATGGCTGTGAACTGCTGCCAGGCCAACTTCACGCCACTCACAGTCGGGGTCCCAGTGAAACCTGAATACACAAAGCCAAAAAGCTATAATGAAAGACATAAGGAATGGGCAATATGTTGAAAAATACATGTTATATATTTGGTCTGTATAAAATGTAAGGCCTAAACATTTAAAAACAAGTTGTTTTCACAGGTTTTGTTCTGCCATTATCAAACTACTCCATATGATATATCAAGATATTCATATGTAACTATAAATATCCACCACCCTGATAGCAAATACATTATAATTTAGTTCTTGTCGAGTAATTTTTTGTATGCTTTCTTAAATGAATGATTACCCAAACTCCCTCATAAACACATACAGGAGTCATAAAAGACTGAGCACAAGAATGTGTTTCCGTTTGGACTGACTGGGGCAATCCATTGATGTTTGGTAGTGTAGGGCAACATAACTAATAATAAATATACTGCATTGTTCTCATGGCTTTAAACACACGCTCAATGTGGGAAGATATTTGAATTTATAGATGTTCACATTTTTCTGGTAAATAAAAGTTAAGTAGAACATTTAGATAGATAGACTCAGGTTGCCAGATATGCAGACGAATCCAGCTTTGACCATAATATCTAAAAAGAGTTTTGTCAACAACAAATCTATAACCAACACCTTTTTCACAAAGATAGAAATCCTGGCTTTATTCCTTGTTTTGTCGTTAATGATTTGAGAATCATAACGAGACCTTTTTTAGTTCTGCGCCACATGGTACTTTACCAGTGAGATTAGCTCCACACGGTGGAAACGGTGGAGGGTGGGACGTCAAAATGAAAACGATAACAAGATTTAGGGGCTGGAAAAGTAATTTAGAAATTCAAATATCTCTGAACTACTGTTATCAGTTAAAGAAGTATTGGAAAAGAGCCGTTTGTTATTATGACAGATTAGGGCCCTTTAATGAAGACAGATTAGGGCCCTTTAATTATGACAGATTAGGGCCCTTTAATGATGACAGATTAGGGTCCTTTAATGATGACAGATTAGGGCCCTTTAATGATGACAGATTAGGGCCCTTTAATGATGACAGATTAGGGCCCTTTAATGATGACAGATTAGGGCCCTTTAATGATGACAGATTAGGACCCTTTAATGATGACAGATTAGGGCCCTTTAACTCATTGAATGCCAGCCTATTTCAGAACAGGTACTCCCACAGTGCCAGCCATTTATGATGATTTTTACTGATTTTTCAAGACCCACAGAATATTGTGTATTATGACTATCTAAAATCCGACACCAGATTCTAAAAGAATGGACTGTCTACTTTCCTCAGCAAAAAGAATTTTGTTTATAGCTTTTTTCGTTCCCCTGTAATCCTCCGTTGAGTAGAGGGAAGTTTTACTGAAATCACCAGAAATCACCAGAAAGTTGAGAAAAAAGAGGCACAACATGTGCACCTACATGTTTTCAAACCATTCAGAGAGCAATGCTGCCACCTGCTGGCTCGATAAAATATGGTCTCAAGTCATCCCCATACATATTAGATACAATAGACATCTGGGAACGTGAAAATAGCAAAAAAAGGCATTTGACGTATTTGTGCGTCAATGGGACACAATGAGTTAATGATGACAGATTAGGGCCCTTTAATGATGACTGATTAGGGCCCTTTAATGACGACAGATTAGGGCCCTTTAATTATGACAGATTAGGGCCCTTTAATGATGACAGATTAGGGCCCTTTAATGATGACAGATTAGGGCCCTTTAATGACGACAGACTAGGGCCCTTTAATGATGACAGATTAGGGCCCTTTAATGACGACAGACTAGGGCCCTTTAATGATGACAGACTACGGCCCTTTAATGACGACTTCAGTAAACACATGCTGTACTCACCAGCAGTGTCTCCGTAGCTGCTCTCCTCTGAGTCTGGATAGCTGTTGATGGACTCGGTGTCAGACACGGTTTCTGACACAGTGCAGAGAGCGTCAGAGTCGAGGCTGTCGTGTGTCAAGTGGAGGAACACCTGAGGAGCAGAGAGGCACCAAACATCTGCACTTGTCAAACCTTCCATGGGGTCATCACCTCTATTTGCATCCAGCATCTGACACGTTCATATGTTTCATAATTATCTACACAATGAGAAAGTGAATGGACGGTCCCAGAATAAACACAGTATTCACTAGTAATATTTAGTCTAGTGTTAGCCAGGCTACTTTTTGCAATATTTCCATAAGATACAGTACATGAAAGTTAGATGTTGGTGGAGTAAGACTTCAAGAAAGAGATTTTAGATTAATGAATGAATTTTGCCATTTTTTGCGTATTTTTCATCCCTAATGCAGTGCTGACAGCAATTCAAAAGCCTATATATTTGCAGATAAGACAAATCTCTGTCTGAAGAAAACAACAATGGACCAAAACATTCTTAAATCAAATACTATTACCCTTTTAAAAGTACTTCAAAAATCTTTCCGCTGTGTTGTAATGCATACAACACAGCGTAGAATCCAGTTTGACCTACCTCCTCCAGGGTGGTGTCGGATATGCCATAGCCTCCGAGCTGCAGGGCGTCCAGGTTGGAGTCGAGGGCGGTGAGCAGCGAGCGGTAGGAGGAGGCGTTGTTGGAGCTGAACGGGGGCAGCAGGTAGACCAGGTCACTGCCCTGGGCCTCCTTCAGCCGCGCTGCAGGAACATGGGCCTGGACGAACGCCTTCAGCTCTGCATTGTCAATCTGTTCACTCTCTCCAGCTTGCATCTGCATACAAGATAAGCATACTGTAAAGCTGGGGTACCTAACTTTGGTTCAGCATAACTATGGATATAAATAGCTGCAGGGCCTTTGTCTCCACTGCTGTCAGACGTATAATTTTACTGCTTCCTTTCTTGTTTTGTAAAGTACTTTGAGTTGCCCTGTGTGGAATTGTGCTGTATAAACAAAAATACCTTTCTTTGTTTTAATGTAGAGTTGTTGATGCGATTTTTTTACTAGTTTTTATGTTTTCTTGAATACAAAACGCCATCGCTCTAACCGTTCCTAATATCCAACACCGAACATTAAAATGACTATAACTTTAATAACAATGAAAGACCAATAGACCACGGGTGTCCAAACTTTGTAGTAAAAGGGCCACTTTAATTACCCAGACTTGTCTAAGGACCGTGATTGTTAAACTGTTTCAGAATCAGAATCAGAATGTTTGTTTAGACTAGAATCAGAATGTTTGTTTAGACTAGAATCAGACTGTTTGAGGCTTTAGAATTAGCCAAATTAAGCTAGCTGAAGTTGGCTGGATCATACTGTAAAAGCGCTTCAATGATTACTTTGTGTTGGCGAGGCAAAGGGCCAGATAAAATGACACAGCGGGCCGCTTTTAGCCCCCGGGCCTCAGTTTGGACATGCCTGCAACAGACCAATAGAACTGACCTATCATGAGATCGGGGGAATCAAAATAACCGATTAGCTTGTGATTGTTTGTAATTCATGATTCAAGGCCTGTTAGGTTTGATAGAATAAGATGAACTAAAGTCATGAGAAAACAGAGCAACAACCATAATTTATAATAATAATCATTCAATATTTAAATGTGGTTAACAGCACTAAACATTTGTTATTCAGAAATGTACACATTAGCTTGAATTTGCATAACCTCTGCCTGCAGCGAAGTACTCCTGTCTTGGAATTATCTTAAAAATTGACTTTTAAAGCAGGGAAGGCAGATGCGATTTTTTGTGCAGCGTTGCCTTGGGAGAGCTGTTTCAAGTTTATGCAAATGTAAAAATACTGACAGAGAAAAATGGTAGGATACAAACCGACAAAGTTAGTGGATGTGTGTGATTAGATTTGGATGTAAAATGTCGCAGAGTAATTTCATTCTTAGTCCCATGTTCCATCTTCACACTTTTCAATGACTGAGCTAAACGAAGAACATAAATTGTGCGAGGCGGCAGTCAGCAGCGGCGTCAGTGTTGTCGGGATTTAGTCCATTTTTCCAGTTTTCAATCTGTCTGATACAAATCACCCTTTTGCGATGAATTGTGTGCCCAATGTGGTGGAGATAAAACATAGGATTTGTTCACACATGAGTGGCTCGGCTGCTCAGAAACGGGCATGATGTGAAAATGTATTTTAGTTTATTGACTGCCTGAAAAAATGGACAATGAAACTGCTGACATTAGAAAGTTAAAGGAGCAGTCTGTAAACATGTGGCCAAAAGTGGTACTGCAGCCTCTCCCACTCTCCCTGACTCAGGTTGCCAGATATGCAGACGAATCCAGCTGGGACCATAACAGCTGAATAGACAAGAGTTTTGTCAACAACAAATCTATAACCAACACCTTTTTCACAAAGATAGAAATCCTGCTTTTATTCCTTGTTTTGTCGTTAATGATCGGAGAATCATAACGAGACCTTTTTTAGTTGGGACATGGTACCAACATGGTGAGTTCTGGCGCCCGGATCACAGACTTTCTGATTGGTAAATTTAAAAAAAATACAATTTGAAAGTTTACACAACCAGGCAATGTTTTTGTTTACTTTGGCCATAATTCCAAGATTATGAATGAATTCTCACAGTTTTTTGTGTGTGTGTGTTTGTGCGTGTCTGAGTGTGTGTGTGTGTGTGTGTGTGTGTGTGTGTGTGTGTGTGTGTGTGTGTGTGTGTGTGTGTGTGTGTGTGTGTGCCTGCTTGTGTGTGTGTATGCATGTGTGTGTGAGTGTGTGTGTGTGTGTGCCTGCTTGTGTATGTATGTATATATGTGTGTGTGTGTGTGTGAGTGAGTGAGTGTGTGTGTAAACTCTCAAGCACAACTGCTGTTGTGTAAGTGTGAATACCTTCTTGGTGAGTGTGAGTTTGTAGCCCTGGCCGAGCTGCTCTTTCAGATAGAACGGTGAACCACAGCATTTAAGTCCTCCTCGTTCTAAGAAGGCGATGCGGTCGCTGAGCACCTCTGCCTCGTCCAGATGGTGCGTGGACATGATAATCGTGCGGCCTAACAAGACATGCACACAAACACATTAGAGGGGGAATAAACAGCAGCACCAATATTTACATACACAATCTGGCTAAAAAAAAAAATCACCATCTGGATTTCACTAAGCCGAGAGAAAAGAGGATAATTACAGCATAACAAAGGACTAGATTTGGTTATGAAAGGAGAAATTATTATGATGAAATGGGGTCGCAAACTTACTGCAAAAACTGTATGTTAAACTCAACACATCCACAGCACATTTCCCCAATTTATCAAATAGAAAAAAGTCGTAACCAAATCTTAGCTAAACCAATGTCAATTACACAGAGCTGTATACATAACTGCATTATAAATGGAGGCTATTCAGGATATTCCACTTCATATCAAAGTCCCTCTCTTGACTTTGTCTAATGCTGCTGTATAGACAGTGTTATTACGTTCACCTTTCTTATGCTTGATAACGACGTCCCAGATGCTGCGCCTGGAGCAGGGATCGACTCCTGTGGTGGGTTCATCCAGCACCACCAGGCGAGAGCCCCCTATGAAGGCGATGGAGATTGACAGCTTGCGCTTCATGCCGCCCGACAGGGTTCCTACCCGCTTGTGCCTGTGAGCGTACATGTCTGTCTCCTCCAGGATCCTGTCAGGAATCAATAGGACATTCTGAGAAAAGATTCATGTTTACAAACTGAATCTGTGCATATAACCCGGAGTTCAGTTCAGTTGCATCTACTGCCATATTTCCGAGATTATGAATGAATTCTCACAGTGTTTGTGGTTGTGGAAAGACTCTTCAACATCTATGACATCTTGGAGTCTTTTGTGGTAGTTGTGGAGAAGTTATTGATTCTTATATGATATTAATTATTATTTCAAAAAGCCTACAGTCCCAGTAAATTCCTGGACCACCTTGAAAATACTGCATTTTGAATGACAACTTCAAATGGCAATCTTTCTGTTTCCCTAAACTCCAAAAATGAAATGGTTGGCTGTATATGTATGTGTATGTGTATGTGCGTGTGCGTGTGCGTGTGCGTGCGTGTGTGTGTATGTATGTGTCCATATAACCCGGGGCTCAGTTCACTTGCATTCACTGACAGAATCATAAAAGGGCAAACAAACAAAGAGAGTAATTTAGGCTTTGTTTCTATGCTCGTCTTTAGAAATGGTTTCATGATGCAACAGGGTGCTCACAAGCTGCACAATTATATCTCACACTATTACACATTTATGAAAACCCTGAAGGCTGAACGTTTGTGTTTATTTTTTTAGACATAGATCTATCAATAAAAAACAACTGTAATTGTAGCGAGCC